TCCTCTCGCCTGTGAGGCAAGTGCTCGAACCACTCAGCTACAGGACTCCACTATACCCATGATTATCGGTTAATATAGTAGTGTCTTCCTACAACAGTTGATTGACAATTAAATATATATATACCATTACAGAATTACATTTGTACTATAATGATTTTTTAAAATTTTATTTATTGAGAAGAACAGGCCTGTCAAGCCTAATCGTCAATAAATCAGCAAAACTTCTAACTATAACTATAAATAGTAAAGGGTTTTAATAGTGCACCACTGTGAACGTGGCATTGTAAAAAGTGCTAGCATACTGGCTCTGAATGTTCATTTGCCATTTGCAAATTTTCATTTGCGACCGCAGGCTGCCGAAACCCTCATACACACCTTCATTACATCGAGGCTTGACTGTGCAATCTCACTGCTTGTCGGCCTCCCCAACTCCTTCCTCCATAGGCTGCAGATCATCCAGGACTCTGCAGCCCGTGTCCTCTCCCGTGACCCTTCAACCCCATCCTTGCCCAACTTCACTGGCTTCCAATCACACAGAGGATACAGTTCAAGATCCTGGTCCTCACCTTCAAAGCCCTCCACAATCTTGCTCCCCACTACCTCTCCGACCTGCTAACCCCCTACTACCCTGTCTTCTCCCTCCACTCAGTGGGTGCCAGCCTGCTTCACGTCCCCCGCCTTGCTCGCCTCACTATCGGCGGGCGGGCCTTCCGCCACTCTGCCCCCACCCTCTGGAACGCCATCCTGCAGTCCCTTCGTCTCGCCCCCTCCCTCGCCACCTTCAAGACCCATCTCAAGACCCTCCTCTTTGACCGTGCTTTCGATCTCCCTGCCTCCCCCCACCCTCCACCCTCCCCAACCCCCAGCTCGGGTCCGTAACTCTGCCTGTCCAGCGCCTTGGGTCGTCCTCCCGACATGAAAGGTGCTATACAAATGTAATTTTGTTGTTGTTTTCTTGTTCTCTTCCCTCCTTTGGTATCTGCTGCATGTGTGACAGGATTTCTTATTTTATTGAGTGGTTACCAGCCATTTATTTTCAACATGAGCGCTCTGAGATTATTGATCTAATGGCACTAACAAATGAGAACACATACATCGAACTGGAATTTTTAATCGTTCTCACTGATTGATAAAAATAATCACTTTGTCTCATGCCAACACAAAACCATCTGAGCAGAAACAAAGAAGCCTGATATGCACACATCCCAACGTATGGTTTTGCCTTATATTTCCCAATGCATGGCAATCATCCAGGTTCACTTATTTATTCCACAAAAATATATAAACATAGAGATAGAGTTTTTCAATCCTGGATTGAAGGGTTGAAAATATAATGGGACTAATGAAATGCAGTGGTTTTATTCTCCTCGCTTCACTTTATTTTTTCTAAATGTTTTGTTCCACCTTATTAGTGTATAACTGTTTAAATTAAAGGCAGCTTGTTTTTATTTTGTTCCTAAAATCTAGTATGTCCAATTATTTTTCTCATTTTCTCCCCCCTGCATATCCCTCTCTGCTCCTGGTCTGGTCTCCTCTTACTGGGGGACAGTTTCACTGGCATTGGTTGCCCAAGTGACCATGCGTTGTGTAAGCCCTGGCAGCGAGTATCTTCAAGTCCGTGAACTGCAGCTCTATCCACTACCCAATCTGTTTTTTTATTTTTAAACACACACAAAAAAGATTTTTAAGACCAAAATGTCAAGATTTAACAGATCTGAATTAATTTAAAACTTGAGCTGCCCATTGTGAAATTGTTACAAAACCTATAGTGTTAAAAAAAATCAAAACACACCACATGGTGCACGGTATGTATAGCAGTGAGCCACAGAGGCCAGATTCAATCCACAGTCTGTTTGGAATTTGGCAGATCGCTTTCCAGGGGTAATAATTTAAAAAATAAAAATGTGGTCACTCAATCCACGATTAGATATGTTTGTGGGACACGGCCGTGCACAATTCGCTGCCACGTTTCTCCCACAAAATACACAGTCAATCTACTTTATATTCTACATAATCTACAATATACAATTTATAATCTACAATATATTCTGTGAAGCGCTTTAAGACATCTCAATGATAAGGTGCTATATCAAATGCAAGGATTGTCCATTATGATTATTTCATCTTGGAAAGCAATTAGAACCTTACAATTCATTTCAGCAATGCTGGACTAGGAGATGAAGTAAGGTGGGGACAGGGGAAATGGGAAAAATCAGACAAGAGTTCTGTTCCTAATATGGATCTAATGACTTTGCTGGAGTACGGCTGGCAAGGACAGAAATGGACATGACCTCAATACTGCGGTCATTCACTCACCAGGCTCATGCATACAGAATAGCCATGTGGAACAATACTTTACATAAAATATTGTGCTTTGCTTGTGAACACAATCAAATAATGTGCCATGTTTAAACATATATGTAAAAAGTAAATTCCTGGTGCTCTCAATTATATGAATGAGAATCAATGAAAAAAGTTAGTTATTATTTACATAGTTAAATATAATATTTACATAAAAGCTTTTTCGTTTGTTGTTAATCACATAATTGCAGGTACTTGTAATTCCTCTGCACGTGTTGACATAAAGCACATAATATATCTGGATTTACACATGGTGCACAATAGATGCTGATATAAATATTATATGCTGGCTATCTAAAAACTAATGATATTCATTGAAGAAAGAAGATTGTGAAAAATTAACTTATGTGGTTTTGTTCATAACCTGAGACTTGCCCAAATCCTCCTTCCCTTCCTATTTGTGAGCAAATCTATTCAAACAGATGTTAAAGAACCAGTGCAAAGTAACTAGTCTTACTGTGTTTTGCAGAAATTTTTTTGTTATTTTGTGTATGCGACACTGGGTTATTTTGCTGGCTAGGTCATAAGGCCCTAAGTGGGTCACATTTGATACTTATGAAATAAAAACAGGAAGTACATTCCTTTGGCAATAACTGCGCTTGGACTTTGTTGCATTTGGCACAAAGAAACCTGCTACATTATTTCAACTCTTGCAATTACAGTATTGCACGATTTCAGATACCTATAGGTTGTATAATCTACATTTTTGATTGGTGTGTTCACAAGTTTAGAAATGGACGTTTACATAGAACAACAATGTCAACAACTTGCATTCATATAGTACCCTTCACACGGGGTAGCATTTTGGAGCCCTTAAAAGGACCACATAAGGATGTAATAATGTGACTGAACATAATGTCCCCATAAAAAGTATTGACTTTGCATTGTTGTCTCACACCAACATAAGGCACTGCACTTTGATGTCTGAATGATTTACCTACATTGAAAAAGACTTAACTGAGTGAGTCATATACATTACAGCACAAGATATTATTCGAACCATCAAGGCTAAGATGGTTGTACCACTTGAGTTGGAACCAGCACCCTTTCATATTATTCTTCATCAAATGTTATTCCCAATCAATATATTATAGTCTCATCCTCAATAGACCCTTGTAAAAAAAATTCCACATTCCAGTAAGCATTGGCGCAAAAAAAATCTTCTAATCTCCAATTTAATTCTTTACCCTCTGAAGAAGTTTTAGTATTGAGGATATCTATGATACCCTCTTAACCTACTCTGTTCTCATGAAAACAACACATTTTACACTAATATAATGCCATTCCGATCTGGAAGATATCCAAAACGCAGGACACAACTGGGTACTGGAACTGTGGGCAGGAGGTGAGGAGAGGAAAGATGACTGAACGCAAAATCTTACAGGTTTGTTTTGAGGTGGGCACAATCCTCATAAAAGTGCCACTTGCCTCCTACCCCACCCTTCTGCTCAGCTAACTCGGGTTTGCTGCTTATCCCCACCCTCTCCCAGAAACCCATTCATCAAAACGCTTTGCTTTCAATCTTTGAGCTATCCCTCTATTCATGCAAACAATTTACAATATCTTGCATTTACCTTTCACATAAAAATGTTACAGTGGTTTACAAAATATAATTAATCAGAAATGAAACACAGCAACTAATTTGCTCCAGGAACATTCCTTAAACAATATGATGAGGAAACAATTTTTTTGAAACTGAAGAACAGGGAATATAAACTAAGACAACCAGCAGAAAGACTCCATCTTAATACACTTAATTAAATGACCACCAATTAGACAACTGTGGTTTGTACTAGTGACTCAAGCCAATTGAATCCCCAGTGTCTAGACACATCAACTTCAGCCCAACGATTTCCTGGACATAGCTCATGGATGCAAAAGACCTCCCAACACCTTGTGATGACCCAGCAACCACTGGAAACACTGGCAAGAGCAGATGCAGTCTTCCTGTATGCTGTGCACTGTGCGCAGAAAGCCACAATTTAGAAGCATGACAGGCACCTTTTTTGGGGGAAAAAAGTGTGCCTCATTAGAATGCACATTCTAAATTTATGAACCCAAACCACTCTAATACAATGGATTCAGCGCGTATAAGAAAATGACTCCAACCTTTCCTCGTCCTCCTAATTATTAGAAAATGACATAAGGTGGGTCACGTTCTCCAATTTAAATATGGTCCAGGTGAACTGAGAGATCACATCGGTACAAAAATGGACTGTGCCTGAGAAAGGAAGGACACAAGCTTCCTTTCTGAATTCTTATCAAAACCTCTTGCCCTGTCAAACTTGTGAGTAGTCCTCCTACTTTGCTGAAATTCAATATGTACACATAAATCTCCTAGGTCTATTTTTACTCCAAACTTCACTTTCCACAATATCTACATCTATTAGAATACACACAAAGACAAGACATAATCAAAAGTAAAATACAATAAAAGCTGACCTAAATCCCTCAAGTCTCAATAAAAGCTGCATTTAGCTTCTGTTGAATGGGAGACACAGATATACATCACTGCTGGTCAGAATAGATTGCAGATACAAAACATTTGAACACTTGGTTTGCATAAAAATGTGCGAAAATGAAAGATATATTTACAGTATGTTTTGACATTATGACACATTAGATTTGAAAGAACTTACTTTGTTTGGGATAAGCAGCCTGAAGCAATAATATTCTGGGTATCCTCATTATTTTGGACAGATGTTAGTGCCACCATATTAATTCTCACATCATTGGTATGTCCTGGGAATCTGGGCAGTATGCTGAGGATCTTCTCAACCAGACTATCACCATGGTGAGCAACAGAACCTAGGAATCAATACAGATTTTTTAGAGTAACAATAAGAGTACAATTCAGGCTTTTTTTTAAAATCACTAGAAATAAAGAAATTATATTCTTAACATCCTCTTGCAGGTGATCCTTGCCCTGCTTGATTTTACAGAATTATTCATAAAATGAATTTGGTCTCAAATAAGTGAGGATTTAAAAGTCTTAGCAATAATGGGGTTGACAACACAAAGTGGCCTACCAAGCAAGTTTTCTTAGGGAAAAATGTAGTGTAAACCGGGAAAAGTAGCATCTCTAGGTCAGAAGGTTGTAGGTTTGTGTCCCACATCTGGGACTTTGAGCTCAGTCTAAGCTGATGTTCCAGCTCAGTGTTGGGAAATGCTGCATTGTCATAGGTTCCGTCAAAGGATTTACTGTAAAGGGTCGTGACTGCATAATTCTGTAGGTGACAGAAATGTCCCCAAAACAGCCATGAAGTCAATGACCAATGTTATCTGGGACATTGTCGGCCAAGACACTGGGAGAATCTCCCTTCTCTCTTTGAATAGTGGCAATGAATCTTTAATCTCTACCTGAACATGCAAACTGAACCGATTTAACATTTCTCACACACTCATTGCCTAGAAAGAAACTCTGAACATCAGTCAGGAACTTACGTTCCATCTAAAATAGTAACTCAACATAATCCTTGTGATAATAGAATCCACTTTCTAACCCAGAGTGTTCTACTAAGTGCTAACAAATGATTACAACTAATTGATGTGAAGCTGTTAGGGCTTTGGCTTGCAGGATTAACAGAAGCTGATTGGATGGCTCACTGCCCCCAGTGACTGGTCTGCCCTTCCAAGTCCTGCCGATGAGCCAGGCTGGCTGTGCTATTATCAGCAGTGCACTGGAAAACTGAAGACCCACCTGTCTCAGGAACCGGACTACCGAGACCGCCACAGACGGTCGGCTCGCTTCCAACATTCCGTTGCCAAATATGTCACCTTGGAGCCAGTTCAGCTCCAAGCAGAACCCACTTACCTTCCCCCCACCCCCCCCCCAAGGATAGCGGCTGATCCAAGTTAACATACAAACAAAAGACTTCCATTCTGCAGAAGTACAATTTATACAATGCAAAACTACATTTGTAAAGGGCCTTTCACGTCTGGAGGACGTCCCAAAGCGCTAAACAGTCAGAGATTAGGACCAGCATCAGGGAGGGTGGAGGGCACAGAGGGTAGCCGAAGGCATGGGTGAAGAGGAGGGTCTTGAGGCGTGCCTTGAAGGAGGCAAGGGAAGGAACGAGGCAAAGTGAATGTTGGATGCAGGTCAGCCTACTGAACGGAGGTAGCGGACAGGTTGATAAGGGGTTACCAGGTCGGAAAGGTAAGAGGGGGCAAGGCCATGGAGGTCCTTGAAGGTGAGGATGATAATTTTGAATTTGATCTTCTGAGGGATGGGGAGTCAATGGAGCCGGGTGAAGGTGTGTGTTATGGGGTCATGGAGCCTGGTTCGGGAGAGGACACGAGCTGCAGAGTTCTGGATGATCTGCAGTTTGTGGAGGGAAGAGTGGGGAAGACCGAGAAGCAGGGCGTTGGCATAGTCGAACCTGGTTGTAATGAAGGTATGTATGAGGGTTTCGGCGGCTTGAAGGGTTTGGCAATGGCAGAGTTGGGCAATATTGCATAGGAGGGGGAAGGCAAAGCGGGTCATGGCACGGATGTGGGAGAGAAAGGACAGTTGAGGGTCGAACAAGATGCCAAGCTTGGTGAGGTGGAGTGTGCAGCCTTAGATGGTCTGTCAGGACATCAGTGGTCCTGAGGTCGAGGGTGGCGGAGTACATGTGGAAGTTGACCCCTGTCTGCGGATGATGTCACCAAGAGGGTGCATGTACAGGTTGAAGAGGAGGATCGACAACAGAGCCCTGAGGAACACCGCACGAGATGGTGCAGGACCTGGAAGAGCAGCCATTCATGGAGACAAAGTGCAGCCAATGTGAGAGTAGGGATCTGAACCATTCAGAACCTTGAAGGTTAAGATGAGAGGCGGTAGAGGAGGAGAGTGGTCCACAGTGTCAAAGGCAGCAGAGAGGTCAAAGGAGGACGAGGGGGCAGAGGGAGCTCGGACACCCCTTTGGACAGCCCGGACACCCGATTGGAGGGATTTGTAAAGGGAGTGCCAGGAGAGGAAGGAGTGAAGCAACAACTCTTTCGAGGACCTTGGAAAGGAAAGGGAGGCTGGAGATGGGGCAATAGTTTGTGCACAGGGTTTGGGTCCAGCGAAGGTTTTTTTAAGGATAGGGATGATGACAGCTGTTTTTAGAGGAGTGGGAACAGTGCCAGCGGACAAGGAGATGTTGACGAGGTCTGAGAGTAATGGAGTGAGGATGTGAAGCTGGGAGGTAAGGAGAGGGCTAGGGGTGAGTTTGAGGGAGCATATGGTGGGCTTTATGCAGGTTATAGTGGTGGTGAGAGAGGAGGGGAAGATGGATTTGAAGGTGTGGAGGGAGGGGTAGGGGCCGGAGTGTGACGTAGAGATGAGGAGGGGGTGATGGTTAGGAGGGCGAGGGCGGCTAAACAATCCCCTCGACTTTGGTCTCAAGGAAATCCAGCATCTCCTCGCAGTTGGAGTTGGAGGAGAGAATGGACGAGGCATGAGAGTGTGGATGGAGGTGCCGGTTGTTAGGGGAGAAGTCTGGGGTTGTCCTTGGCTTCCAAGCTTACCCTGGAATAGAACGACAATTTAGCGGAGGAGAGGGTGGACTGTTAAGTTTTTATGTGGTCCAGCCAGATCTGCTGGTGGACCCTTACATCAGGTTTATATACCTGTCATGTCAAGTGCTCGATCTATAAAAACGATGGACGCTTTATTCTGTGCGTTTTTTCTTCGGTGCTTTGCTTGTGGGTAATTGGCAAGTTCTCCTGCAATAATTCTGCTACTGGGCCCAACAGCGAAGCACTCTTCCTTGAGCTGTGCGAGTTCGAACATGGAATTCAAGGAGGAAACCAGGGACCGGATTTGTACTTGAAGTTGAAATGGCAAAGCCTGATAGTCAACGTCGTTCAGACTCCCAAACCTCTTCTTGTCGTGTCTGGTGCGGTTGATCCCAATGAGATCATGAGGCACAAATGAGAAGAGGGAGGAGAAGGCCGGCGTGAGGAGCAAGTGTGGAGCGAGGGGGGCGAGGAGGACGGGCAGGTGCATGACCTCGGCCGTGTAGTTCATGTTGCCCATCCACTGGCACAGCAGCTCCCCGAACTGCTCGAACACCGGCTCCTGCTCCAGGTCGGTGCTCACGCCGTTGGCGAACAGATGGGCGGAGTGGCTGACGGCGGTGACCACCACGCAGTAGCGGAAGGAGCTGAGGCTGACGATGTCGCGGATCACGTCTGCTGTCCTCCCCTTCAGCAGGCTGCTCACCACCAGCACCGCCTTGGGCTGGTCGGACGCTCCCGCCTCGAAGCTGCTGAACTCCTTGACGTTGACAGCCCCGGCCTGCAGCAGCCGGCTCAGCCCGCCCACCCAGTGCAGGCTCTCGGCACACGCCGAGTCCACGAACACCAACGCCTTCTTCACCTTCTCGCACACCTTGTCCCACGGGAGCCGAGCGGCGCCCGCCAGACCCGCGCCTCCCGTCCCGGCGCTCATGGTTTCCAGGGAGACACAGCCGTCTCTATGGCCACTGATTCGGCCGTCTCGGGAAGGTGACGTGTCAGCAGAAAACGGCGCAGATTGATGACGTCGCGGCCCGTGCCTCGTCTTGTCAGACGGGTTCGCCTTTGCGCGTGCGCGATTCCGGCAGGTGTTGTGTATGTGGAGATCTGCAGTGTTGCAATTGCCTGACATCAGACGGGATGAATTAACGTTTATTTTTTTTTGAAAAAAAACGCACAGAATTGCTCCACGTCACCAATTGACATTTGAATCATGTTACTAATTGCTTCTCAGTATTGAGAGTCAATCAATTTAATGATCTATTTTATCACAGAAATTTATAGCACAGAAGGGATAATGATAATCCTTGCATTTAATCCTTGCAAGGGAGGCCATTGAACCCATCATGCTTGTGCTGCTGTACTGAAACTTGTTTGTCTCATTCTTTTGCTTTTTGCTATGCCCTTTATGTTTCTTTTTCAGACCACATATTTATCTAATTCGCTTAAAAGTTGAAATGGATTCTGCCTCAACTACCATTCAAAGTAGGGCATTGAATATTATTAATAATAATTTTTGCATTTGCCGCAGCACCTTTCATAATATCTCAAAAGTGCTTCACATGATTTAATGTAAGGAGTAGTTACTGTGCATTTGTCTGAATTGAGTTTTCTGAACTGAGTCAATCCTGTGTAGCAGCCTCAGTTATCCTCTTGGTGACATCATCTGTATACATGCGGTCAACTTCCACATGTATGCGGATGACACCCAAGTCTATCTCTCTGTCTCCACCCTCGACTCCAGGACCACTGCTGTCCTGACAGAATATCTGTCAGACTACAACAACAACAAAATTACATTTATAGAGCATCTTTCATGTCGGGAGGATGTCCCAAGGCACTGGATCAAGTCCTGGATGAGAGCTAACTTTCTTCAACAAGACTGAGGCCATCCTGATTGGCTCCCGTCAGCGCCTCGATAGCTCAAACGGTTTAAGCGCTCTGAGACCCTACCCTGTGTGGAGGGTGCTAAATAAGGGCAAGTTGTTGTTGCATCACCATCCAAGGAGCAAGTCACTGAGCAAGCCCTGAACCTTGGTGTCTTGTTTGACCCTCAACTATCCTTTCTACCCCACATCTGTGCCATAACCCTCTCTGCCTTTGCCCACCTCCGCAACATCACCTGACTCCGCCATTGTCCCACACCACAGGCCACTGAGACCCTCAAACACTGCTGTTGCAAAAATCTCTATTGCAAAAACATCCCCCTCTTTAATCCATCTCAATTTCTATCACCATACTCTCAATATTATTATTATTATATCATATAATTCCAACCACAACACCCCAGGTTTATATTATTCTTGCTGAATACTCCTTGCATTCTCTATTTGACTTCTTGATAGCTTTCTCTCCCACTTTTAGTGATTAAGTGTTTTTATACAATCCTTGCACCTTTTCTACCCCTTTCAGAATGTACTTTTACTCCCTACTCATGTCCTGTACATTTGAAAAGAGTTTTGAATTATGTCTGCAACTATTTCTCCACTGTATTCAACTTCTACCTGAAATCTCACATGATCCTGCCCCTTACTGTTTGCTGAACAATCCAAACAAAATGTGATTAGCAAACTTGGCCAGTACATCACATTTGGGTGTGACGTGTCATACCGGCCAAGTTTGCTGGTGAGTGTGATGCTGCACATTGCATTAGGCAGAGACACCCAGGGTTGCCAGAAATTTAAATACATTTATAGGCCAAATTCAACCAAACACTAGCCCAATATTATGCATTGCCTATCTTAGGGTGACCGTATGTCCCCAATTTCCAGGGGCAGTCCCTGCATAAGGTATTGTAACCCCCTCCAAATTTGCCCCATTTTGAGTTCAGCAACAAATTGAGCAAGAAACACATTCTAAAGCAGATACGCTCATCGGAGAAGCTCTTACAGTACTGACAGCATTTTTTTATATACTGTACACGTCCCTTGATTTGGTTTTCAAAATATCCTACGAGTAGCAGAATAGTCAATGTAGGTTAGTGCTCTTGAACAGTGTAAGGTCTTCAAAGAGGGAAAAACATTATCCGGGTTTAAACTCGATTCCTTCCTCATAATTCATCAAAAAAAAATAATAAATTGGGTCACTTCCCAATACACAAAATCTCCAGTCCCGTTCACTTTACAGCGTATTCTGAAGAAGCGGCTTGAGACGCCTCGAAGACCGCGACGAGGCGCTGTATCAAATGCCAGAGGGTTATTATTATTATTGCTATTGTTGTTGTTGTTATTGTTACAGAAACAAAGCCCGGTTGGTTGGGGGCATGAACCCGCCCAGCCCGGCCACGCCGAGCACCTGGGGGGGGGGGGCTCGTGGAGCGGCGGCGAGCAGTTCCGGGTGATGGTTCGTGCGGTGGCTGTTTCCTGGGTTAGAGGTCCCGGGCCGGTGTGAGGGAGAGCCGAGGCGCGCACACACACACACACACAGCGGGTGGACACATGTCAGCCGAGGCCGACACCATGGTGCCTGAGGCCGGCGCGGCCAACGCGGGGCCCGGCGATGACGAGGAGCACTGGCTGTACGGAGGTGAGACGGGACACCGCGAGAGGCTGAGCCGCGGCCTTCACGCCGGGTATCGGGACACGCGAGGCCGCGGGCTGCCCCGGCACCAGGCCCCGGGCACCAGGCCCCGGGCTCGGCGGGGACGGCCTGTGGGCGTCCCGGTTCTGCCGGGGCCAGGGCTCGGCCTCGGTGAGGCTTACAGGGCCGGGCGGCAGGTGGGGGCGGACAGAGGAGGCGCCGCTGTTACTCTCTCTCTCTCTCCCGGGACTCGGTTACCTGAACCGGCGACATGACCTGAGGCTTGTGATCAAAGCCGCTCAGGGATGCCCTGTCCTGCCTCCTGCCCTCTCCTGCCCTGCCCTGCCCAGCCCTGTCCTGCCTCCTGCCCTGCCCTGCCCAGCCCTGTCCTGCCTCCTGCCCTGCCCTGTCCAGCCCTGTCCTGCCTCCTACCCTGTCCAGCCCTGTCCTGCCTCCTGCCCTGCCCTGTCCAGCCCTGTCCAGCCTCCTGCCCTGCCCTGTCCAGCCCTGTCCTGCCTCCTGCCCTGCCCTGTCCTGCCCTGTCCTGTCCTGCCTCCTGCCCTGTCCAGCCCTGTCCTGCCTCCTGCCCTGTCCTGCCTCCTGCCCTGTCCTGCCCTGTCCTGTCCTGCCCAGCCCTGTCCTGTCCTGCCTCCTGCCCTGTCCTGCCTCCTGCCCTGCCCTGTCCAGCCCTGTCCTGCCTCCTGCCCTGCCCTGTCCAGCCCTGTCCAGCCTCCTGCCCAGCCCTGCCTCCTGCCCTGTCCAGCCCTGTCCTGCCTCCTGCCCTGTCCAGCCCTGTCCTGCCTCCTGCCCTGCCCTCTCCTACCCTGTCCTGCCTCCTGCCCTGTCCAGCCCTGTCCAGCCTCCTGCCCTGTCCAGCCCTGTCCAGCCTCCTGCCCTCTCCTGCCCTGCCCTGTCCTGCCTCCTGCCCTGTCCAGCCCTGTCCTGCCTCCTGCCCTGTCCAGCCCTGTCCTGCCTCCTGCCCTGCCCTCTCCTGCCCTGCCCTGTCCTGCCTCCTGCCCTGTCCAGCCCTGTCCTGCCTCCTGCCCTGCCCTCTCCTACCCTGTCCTGCCTCCTGCCCTGTCCAGCCCTGTCCTGCCTCCTGCCCTGCCCTGTCCAGCCCTGTCCAGCCTCCTGCCCTGTCCAGCCCTGTCCAGCCTCCTGCCCTGCCCAGCCCTGTCCTGCCTCCTGCCCTGTCCAGCCCTGCCTCCTGCCCAGCCTGCCTCCTGCCCTGCCCAGCCTGCCTCCTGCCCTGCCTGTCCTGCCTCCTGCCCTGCCCGCCTCCTGCCCTGCCCAGCCTGCCTCCTGCCCTGCCCAGCCTGCCTCCTGCCCTGCCCAGCCTGCCTCCTGCCCTGCCCAGCCTGCCTCCTGCCCTGCCCAGCCTGCCTCCTGCCCTGCCCAGCCTGCCTCCTGCCCAGCCCAGCCTCCTGCCCAGCCCAGCCTCCTGCCCAGCCCTGCCTCCTGCCCAGCCTGCCTCCTGCCCAACCATGCCTCGTGCCCAATCCAGCCCTGCCCTGCCCAGCCTGCTCTGCCTCCTACCCAGCCAAGCCTGCCCTGCCCAATCCAGCCCAGCCAGTCTTGCTTGCTGCCCAGCCCAGCCTACCCACCCTCTCCATCACTTCTGGTCTGGATTTGTTTTGTTTTTATTTTAAAATCTCTTATTTTACATCTTTTTTACCGAGTTATTTTTATTTCTCTTCCCATTAGATGAGAATGACCCAAATAAACAGGAGGAACAAGCGCCAGTTGACAGGTGGGTGAATGTAACTATGGCCTCAGGGTTTGGTCTAGACTAAGGCTGATGGTTTAAATGATGGAGGTTGTTTTACACTCTCAGAGATGTGCCATTCATCCGATGAGACATTGAGCCAAGGTCCCATCTGCCTGTCCAGGTGGATGTTAAAGATCCCAGGGCACTATTCAAAAAGAAAAGGGAGTTTCTTCCAGTGTTCTGCCCTGCAATCCCCTCCCCCGCAGGTTGGTCACTTCATGGCCACTTCACTTCACTGCTCTAAACAAATTGTTTCCTTCTTTCATTGCAAATTACAGTCACACTACAATACAGTATATCCTTTTAAGCACTTTGAGGTGTTTCAGAACTCACTGTGCCGATGGTTTCAGCGATCTACTTGTCATTAACCCAGACCTCTCCTGCCTGGTCATGTAGACAAATGCCATTTTAACTTGTACTCCCATTTCTTATTTTCCTGTGGTCATCACTTGACATTTGCCCATATTAAATTACATTTGTTGATTTTATTATATCATGGCAGATCCTATTATTTGGAAAAGCATTTCTAGGCATTGGTTTAGTTTGAAAGCTTAGTATGTGTGTGTGTTTGTGAAATGTTCCAAGTTATTACAATTGTTTCCCCTTTTTAGTGCTACTGAAAATGCACCGCTTCCTGCTGCTACTGTTGAAGAACCCAAAGACAATGGGGTGGCTAGAATGGTAAGTTCCCTTTTTGGGGAATAATGTGTATGTTGTCTATGACTGAGATGATTTTCATTGTTGAATAGAAGGTGCTTGAAACACCACGGTGGAAACGTCTTGCCCGATCTGCATTTGCCTAGTACCTTCTATTGCACTGAATCTCAATAAATCCAGTCTTTCAAGATTGAAAAATATCCTCTTTGAAAGTAAATGGGGTCACACTTGGGCAGAAATAGTTCTGCAGTAATCACACCAGTGCTCGCTATTGCCAGTCTAATGGTAATATTGAGAAGGGGTGGAAGCTGAGGATTTAAAATTAAAATGTTCTTCTATTAAAATAAATACATTCGATACTAACAACGGGTTAAATTACATTTCCTCTATTATTAGCAGCCTACAGATGAAGGTGAGGAAGAGAGCGACAGTGATAGTGATGACGACGATGATGATGTTCAAGTCACTATTGGTGACATTAAAACTGGGGCACCTCAATACACGTATGGATTCTGTTTTCTTGTTGCTGTACATACACATGTTAATATTGTGGCTGTTGTGGTCTTAAGGTGTGAAATGCTCATACTGGGGAATGGAACAGTTTCACTTCATATTAGTGGCAGTACCACTATCACAAAATATACAGACAATTCACTTTACAATATGTTCTGTAAAGCCCTTTGAAACATCTCAAAGAAGTGATAAGGTGCTATGTCAAATGCAAGGATTATTATATTATTATTTTAATGTGAGTATACACAGCTGAGTATAACAATAGACATTTCTGTTTCATACCCTTTTAACTTATGCTTAATTCATGAGTGGTCAATGGAAGTTTTTGTTTACCATGTTAAAATGTTAGTCATGCGGATATTTGGTGCTTAAGAATATAAACTATCGAACACGAAAGGTTATTCATCCCAATCATCCTTCTTCTTCCATAGCCCATAGAAAAGCTTTCAGGTACACTCCAGCCGCACCCAACATTCTATCTCAGTCTATTGGGGGATCTGCAGATACTTTCAGAAACTCAAAGATAATCCAGAGAATCTGTTTCTAGCCTCCATCTCCATTATTCAAACTTGACCTCACAAATGTCCTTTGCTCTCAGCACAGAATTCATTGTTCTCCAGTTAATTTTCCTCAACATGTGTGTGTGTATATATATATAACATGTATATGTTCCAACAAATAATCTTAGAAGCCAAGTTATGAAATATTTTCACAAGTAGATATGGTGGAGGTCCCTTTACAAATTTTAATATCACAACAAAATTACATTTGTAAAACGCCTTCCAGGTCGGAAGACTTCCCGAAGTTCACATTGAGGGAAGTTCAGATAATTGTAGGGTTCCTTTGTGTATGCAGTTATTCAATATAAAATTCTTGTAAGCAAGAACATCTTGTAAATATCAAGTGTGATAAAGTGTAAAATCTAAGTTTACTTTTGGCAAAATCCAAGAAGCGAGTGATAAATTAGTAGCACAACTTGTGATTTGTATGCCTGGTGTAATGGAATTGTGAAATTCTGTGAAATTGAAATGTTTTCCTTCCTATAGCTATGGAGTAACGCCTGTAAATCTCAATATCAAATCGTCAGGAAGATTATATGGATCTGGTAAGCACATTACTGTATATATGTATTATCTCTGGGCTTTGTTCCAGTTAAAATTAAGAAGTGAGCTAAATGCTCCTGAGTCTTCCCCCAAGTATCACCTCTAATTGGACACCCTGTCTAATTAAATTCTACATAATATTGCTCTCCGAGCCTCATACTTCTCCATACCCACTGCTAGCAAAACCTGTCCCAGTTCCCTCTTGAAACTGTTAATACCTCTTTAGGAAACTTCCACATATTCACCATCATATGTGTAAAATAGTTAAATCTAAACTGGTCTCCTTTTCCTCTTGAGCTTGAGACAGTGGTCCCATGTGAACTTATTGACTTTTTAATAAATATATCAGCCCTTAATGTCCTTATTTCAATGTAAACTGTTCTAGTTACCTCAGAGGTTAGATGCCTGATCTTATATATTAATTTTGCTCAGGATTACTAAATTCATTGCTCCACGATCAACTATCTTTACTTTCACTGTTAAATAATTTTGAATTCCCTTTATCATTTCTTTTGGATTTGCAGTAGAGCAAATATAATACAATATAATATGTGGCACTGGGAAGGGCCTAGTTAGAACTGGTGCTGTTTTGGTATTCTATGATGTGTAGGACTCCTTTTTGTTAGCAAGCCATCACTTTACAATAGCACAAAAGTTATTGCTTTATTAAAGGGGGGAAGAGTAGTCAGCAAAATGTACATTGGTGCTGGGTCTCATGTGCTACAGAAAGTGATGTGGGTTGATGTCCTTTTCGCTTCTGAATGAAACTGAAACTGAATGAATGTCAGAGACATCCAAAGTAGGAGGCTTTAGTATTGGCAAGATATTGTCATTGATTAGCAGTTAGGTATTAGGTTTGTTGTGGGCTTTAGTGTATTGATTTGATAATAATTTCCATTCATACTTCATAACCAGTTGGTGAAAATTAGGTCCTGAATAGTGGGTGTGCTAAATCCAATTGCATGTAATTTAGGCTTATTTTAACTGAGCAAATAAAGCACTGTTATAACTGTATATGGTTAACTGTAAATTCTGTAAACCTGAATGTGGTGGTGATGGCAGAATTTAAACACTTTTTTAAAAAAATGGTAAAGGGAAAAGTTACTGAATGTATGGTTGTTCAACATTAGTTTTATATCCAATGATATTTTTGGTGTGAGTCATTCTGGGACTATTTTCAGACAGTCATGCATCAATTATAAATTTTAATAGGTTCTCAGTACCCAGCTTCCTAATTCTTGTATAGGCGTGTGGCTTGCATTTTCCTGCATTAACTTGTAAATCCTTGCTTGGATGCATAAACATAATAAATCTGCAGCACTAAATCACTCAATGGGTTACTGGCCAGTACTAAACTGTACTACAAGTGCAAGTAAGTTACCAGGTGGTAAATTAGTTACTTCTATGTAAAACTAACTTCCATTTTGGTAAACAATTTCGTATCTGTGTCTTGTCTTCATCTGCAGTACTGAATGACACAACTCGTTTAAAATTGTGAGAAAATATTTTCAATATTGCTGTATTAGTTTCAAATTAATTTAAATTTGTTTTAGTATTCTGTTTTGGTAAATGAAACATACCTTGCTTTTTACTGTACTGACATATTCTCATCCTTTATCTCAAAGGAATCAAAGCAGGAAAGGGAGTTGATCTTGATGCCCCCGGTGATATCAGTGGGATCCCAACATTAGAAATAGACTTGGATTCTTTTGAAGACAAGCCTTGGAGAAAACCAGGTATAACATGTTCTGCTACTTAATTACCCTACAAACAATTAGATATTTATATTTATTTTCCATTCATTAAATATGTTCCATTGTTTGAATATTGATGTCATGATTGCTTTTGTATTGTCTCCTTGGATTGCAATCATTTCTCATATTATTGTACTGCTATTTTAAAAACAAGTGTTTGCATCTTAATTATGGTCACATTGTAAATCTCTTGCACGATATTTTTAACAATATCTTTTGTATTACATTTTGCAGCCAGTTCCTTGGATACTTATTATTCGTCTATTTTCAGGTGCTGACCTCTCTGATTACTTCAATTACGGATTCAACGAGGAGACTTGGAAAGCTTACTGTGAGAAACAGAAGCGATTGAGAATGGGACTTGAACCTCTTCCTCCTTCCTCAACAACAAATCGAATCACAGTGAGTTTTCTTTGAACTTTGAGAACTGTGAGCAGCAGCATTGGCTTGCATGATGTAACACATACTTAGTGTGTAACCTGCCATGCCATCCAATAAATTGCTGCCACGCTGTTTCTCCAAGAAACAACTGGTCAATCATTATAGTAAGAATTGACTTTCAAGTTGTTTTAACTTCTTCAGTAAAATAAATAGGGTACAGAGAGTACTTGGACCAGGTGGAAGTATTCCTGATTGGTAACAGTTCAGTCCTAATTTAATTTGAGCCTTAGCTAGTTATGATAGGGTACATAGTAACAATTTTCATTGGTCAGAAATGAATGAGAGGGTGGAAACTTAAAGTAAGCACAAAAAGAATTAATGTGGAGGTTACAAAAAAATCTTTACCTAAAGAGTGATTGGAATGTGGCACAAACTAGTATGAAGTAGAATCCATCAATTTTAAAATAAAATTTGATAAATGCTGGAGAGCAGGAATATTAAAGGGTATGCAGTGCGAGCAGGAGAACGGGATTACATTTGGTGTTTTATGGTGGAGAAAAGCACCAGCGCAGATTTGAAGTTACCAGTAATCTGCTTTGTGCTGCGCTATTTTATCATTTGAACAAATGCCTTTCCCTGTGTTATTTACTGAACAATTCAGAAAGCTGGAAAATAATATAATCCTTGATATAGTCAGGAGGAAGCCTCTAAGCACTTTGGAGGATATATTGTAAAGTGCAGTCACAGTGTATTGAACACAGCAGCTAATTTACATAGAACAATGTCCCACAAACAATCATGAAGTGAATGCCCAATGATATTTGAACGAATATTTGGCCAGGATACCAGAACAATTCTCTTCTCGTTTTGCATTGTGGAATCTTAAACAATAAGGAATAAAAAGTTTATTTACAACAAACTAGTAGTTTTTTGGCCTTGTGCTTCACTTCAGTAATATGAAGTTTTTTTAAAATCTTTCAGGTACAACAGGGCAGAACTGGAAATCCCGAGAAAGAGCCAGAGATACCACCCCCTAAAATGGATTTCCCATCTCCTCCAAATCGCTACAGAGCAGGACCACCACCAAACAGGTCAGTATGGGTGGAAATAAAAAAAAGCTATAAAATCTGAAATAAAAATGTATTCTGTTTATAATTGAATTGATTATGAGTGAGTTTTAAATAGGAATATTTCTGGTGACTGCATAAAGTTAAAGCAGAGAAAAGGATGAACAGAATCATAGGACGTTTACAGCACACAAGGAGGCTGTTTAACAACTTGTATCTGCTGGTGCTAGAGCCCTCACTGGAGCTACCTTGCTCTAATCCCATTCCTCTATTTCTCCAATTTTGTATCTTCCCATTTTGTAAGATTTAAAATGTTTTAACATAGTTATAAGTTATTACAGATACATGAAGTGGAAATCCTAAGTGATAATGCTTTGTGCAAGCTAAATGTAGCAATGGTCATTTATTCATTTTTGCATCCAGTTGTTCCTCAGTCTTAAGAGTCTAGAGCCATAACCATGATGTTCTTTGTTTAAATAAAGTGATGTAATTGCAGCCTAATCGATGATGTATTTTTCAGAAGGTTGTCTGGGTCAATCGAGGTTATTGGAGGTCAGTTGATTACTATTGCTCGGGTTGAGGGCCGGCGTCGGGATCGGGGTGGAGCAGATGAAAATGCCATCCAGGTTTGTGTAGCATTTGTTGTTTGATCATTTTAAACAATTAACCACATAGTTTTACGGCATCACGGTTTAAAGAACTGGTTTTAAGATATCCTTGATCTGAAGCATCCTGGGTTAATCATTGTCTGAGGTTTACACCATTCTTTCAAGCTGCTACTTTTAGTATCACATGAGTGAGTTTTTTGGATGATATTGACATTCATCAGTTGCACAAAAATCAGTTGAAAGGGGCCGAGGAATTGGGTACTTTTATGGGATTTTTAATTGTATTCAAGATTACTCTTCATGTGGAGATGGACCGAGGAAAAAGAAGCAGTTTTTTTGCCAATTTACAATACTTCTGAAAACACTGCCTCTTTGCTGCAGTTCGGTTCCAAGGACACAGGCCAGTGTCTGGTGCTTTGCTCAGTGGGTACTCTTCATGAGGTCAGACAGTGAATATTTTCAGGTTGCTTGACTGTGATGGGAAGCATACACAACAATTTTCATTTATATAGCGGCCATCATGTGGCGTAGCGTCTTGGACGGAGGAAATGGCATAGCTTGACGCAGAGCTGGGGGGAGGCACTGTTGAAGATGAAGGACTTCAGGTGTGATCAGAAGACTGGGAAGGAGGAGGTCAAATCGAGGGGTTGAGGAAGAGAGTTCCATAGTTTCGGGGCATAGTGGTTGAAGGCCAATGATGAAGTAGAAGGACATGCAGGAGGCCGGATCTAGCTGAGTAGAGGCCGAAAGTAGTAGAGTGGGGTGTAAGCATGTTGGAGAAGTAGCGAGGTGCCAGTGCTTGAAGTGGATAGGGAGCCAGTGGATCCTGTCAAGGACTGGGATAATGGGGGTACAGGATTTGGTGTGGATGAGGATACTGGTGGCAGAGTTTGGGATTATCTGATTTTGTGAATTCTGGAGCTGGGAAGACTGTGCACTGCCTGACTTTTGTTTGATAATAAATGTAAAATGTGAACTATCAACCTTACTGTTGTACCTTAATACAGATTTTTATAGGCATGACTTTATATACCAGTTACTGCTCATTTGACAGCTTTAAAGTTACACGTTACTGTTCCACTGACATGTGTTCACACACGCACAAAATTATGTTGGTAATATTATTTTGTTCACATTGCCATAATCATTCCTATTAACCACCTCTCTAATACTGATTTACACAGATCAGTGAGTTTGACTTAGCTGCCTTTTTTATATAAAGGAATAGAAGTTTCCTCATTGTGATAGTCAGTTGAGTGGTGGTTGGGGGGGGTGTCACATCCCTAGACCAAAATATATTTGAGTCATTGACTCAAAAATTGTTAACGCATCACAAATTGTACTTTTTGTCCTGTAGTGTCACTGAACCAGGAATTAATTTGAAACTGGCAAAGCAACAAGTTACACTTGCATATCGCCCTTCACGTCAGGAAAACATCCCACGGCACTGGACAATCAGGGGTTTTTGGACCTCATTTGGGGTCAGGAGGGGTGGGAGGAAGAGGAAGGTTGAGGTGGGACTTGAAGGAGGCAAGAGAGGGTGTGAGGTGGAGGGATTGTGGGATAGAGTTCCAGAGAGTGGGTGCAGAGATGCTGAATGCTCAACTACCAATGGTGGTTTGGAAGGGCGGAAGTGTCTGCTGGGCGGAGGGCTCGGTCCGGCTGATATGGGGTATGGGTTCGGAGAGGTAAGGGGAAGCAAGACTGTGGAGGTCTTTGAAGGTGCGAGCGAGGGTTTTGTACTTGATTCTCTGAGGGATGGGAAGCCAATGAAGTTGGGCAAGAACAGGGGTGATTGGTTCTCGGAGCCTGGTGCAGGAGAGAACAGGAGCTGCAGAGTTTTGAATAATCTGCAGTTTGTGGAGTGAAGAGTTGGGAAGTCCAAAGGGTTACAAATTTACAAAGACTATGTAAGGATTACTTTATGTACAAAAAACAAAGTTTAGTCACATTGATGAGATCAAATATTTAACTTCATAAAAATCTCTTATTAAAAACAATTAATCTGTTTTCAATAAAAAGTTACAAGTTTAGTTCTGATAGTATTAACCACATGTGTTTTTTTTCCACAAAAGGTACTTGGTGATCATGGAGCAGTAGAATTTGTTAACAGCAACAATCCAACGAAGCGGCCTCCGTTTCTTCCTCCAGGGGCACCTCCCCTTCACATGACTGGGCCACCTCCACCATTCCTACCCCCTCCTCCACCTGTCAGTGCCACACCTCCTCTTCTTCACCCACCAGGTGAGAGTTGAACATTTGCCTTTTGCACAAACCCAATTGTTTTTAGTTCAATGGAGTTTAGTTTCACGATTAGCCGCTAGTGGGTGAGGGGATATATATATATAATATATATGTATATCCAGGACAAACTCAAATTTCCAGATACTGAGAGAGTTCTGACTTGCTTCTGTTTGGAGTAATACTCTGTTTATAATAATGTTATATGTCATATATATACACCTTTTCCTTCACAGCCTGACTCAATCTCCCTAACACAGCTTCATGGAAACCTGTCATTTTGTGTGTTAGAGAATCAGTCAGCCAACATCATTGCAGGCTCAGTCAGTAACATTGTAATAATAATCATTAGTGCAGGTTCAGTCAGCAATCGACTCCATAAAATCAACGTGGGTTCGGAATATTTTTTTTCCTGGATAGCATGATTGTGGTTGTATGAAAGGTATCTGCAACCTTAAAAAACCCACAGATTTGAAGCTGCTTCGACAGTAAAACTATTGTATGTTTGAAGTATTCATACCCTGCAGTTTCTTCCGTCTTTAATGAAATTTCTTAATTGAAAATGTATGTTAATATAACAAGGGGAGAGGAGGGCATAGTTCCTTATTGATAGGAACAAAGGTACAGTGCCCTGTATATTTTACCAGTATTTACAACACAGTTCTCTTGACATTGGCTTTCCCTGGGGAGCTTCAAATGATAAAATCACAAACCACTTTTGGCTTTGTGATGGATGGATGAATACAAATGATTTAAGTAACCCAAGGCAAGAAAGGAACGTTGCTATGAATGACTAAATTTTAAGAATGAAAGGGTTTTATACTCCACAGTAGCTAAGTTAATTTTTTATAATAAATATTAATCTTAATGTGTTGTGTTAGAATTTTCACAAAGGCTTAGCAACCTCTTTCCATGCATGGTCCCAATCTGCATATACCATTAAGTTATGTGTATTTGGTTCATACTTGGCAATGTTTTAATTGTCTTTTGGCCAGAGCTTTAACTTCAAAGCAGTTTCTAAAATAGAATTTAAAATCTGCTAGGTTCAATGAAAACAACTGCTGTTACCTATGAATGATATATCAGAGCCAAAAAATGTTGAATCACTACAAATGTAAAACATCCTGCTGAATACTCTTTGAAATGGGTATTGAATGCAGCCCTACTTTAATTAGACTTTACTTTATTGACTTTCAAGTTTATGGTGCTCATGTTTTAGTCAGCTTTATTAAAAAATAGTCAAATCTTGTACTTTTGGTTTATACAGGTTCTGCTCCACATGTTTAGCAAATAGATGCAGTTCTTCTCTGGGAACTGTACTAAAATATCTAGCTTGTTCCTGTACAAGTAGGTGCTTGTCCTGTAAGGAGAAAATAGTATTGTGTTTATTTTTCTCATAGCTGAACTTTTATCAGGTTTGACTACTGTTAACGTTTTGAGCTAAATATGTGGATTTTTGGTATTTCAAGCAGAGATTGCTTGAAGTGAATTTCAGTGTTTGGGCTCAGACACATGTGTCCAGTCAGCACTACAACAATTAGCAAACGTTCTTTCAGGTATTGGCTTTGTTTACACTAGAATTTACTCCGCAGCCCTGTTAATACGTGGTTGTTGAGATCCGTAAAATCCCAACCTGTGCTGCAACAAGGTGCGATCACCAGTCAGGGCTTCAGCATCCTCATATGACTGATCGCAGGACATGACATCAATGCACATGTGTGGAATGCCAGATAGCTTTCTGCTCTAAAAATTGCAGATTTCCAGGTCTCTCCTGTCATCCCATACAGTATGCCCTTGTGTGCAAAAAGGCTTTGTAATACAAAACCAAACCCAACTTACCACAGTTCAAGCAGCTGTGCTATAATGGTTGAATAGATGAGGAATTATGTTTCTTAGAGTGGAGGAGGTTAAGGGATGATTTGATTGAAGTATCTAAACTGAAAGGAATTGGCAGGTTAGGTAGCAAATGACTGTTCCCAATGGTAGAAGAGATTCATTACAAATATAGCCTTACAATCAGACAAAGACAATTAACTGAGACTGGGAACCATTTTACCACAGGATTGTGAAGATGTGGAATGTTTAATCCCAGAAAACTAAGATGGAATTGGTAGGGTTGTTTAAAATCGAGATAGACAGAGGTAAGAATGTTTAGGGTAAGGGATACGGCCAAATCTCCAGGATTAATAGATCTGCCAAGATCTAATAAAACTGATGGAACAGGCTACATGTACTGAATGGCCTCCTCCTGTTCCCGTTTCCCTATGTTTCTAATTGTATGCTTCTTAAACTATAAACCTGTGGGCATGCTTGTGTACCCTCAACATTTTGGTGAAGGTGAACTTTTGGAAATGACTATTTCTCCTGGTGCCGTGGCCAACAATCCTCCAGATGAAGTTAGTCATTCACTCCTTGGCTGTTTGTGGGGAAATTGCTGTGCGCAATTGTGCTACTGCATTTGTCTACAAATACACAGTCACTTCATTTCACAGTAAATCTTGTAATGAATGCACTTGGAGATGTCATTCCGACATCATAAGGCGCAATGCAAGGAGCATTATTATTTTTATTTTGGACTTGATGAGCATTTCCATAGAAATATTCATCCTTGTTAAAGTACCTTATTTAAGCGCTCTGAGATGCTACCCTGCATGGAGGGCGCTATATAAGTGCAAGTTATTGTTGTTGAAGGGAATGTGTGTACTGTACAAAACCTTTTTGGGAATTCTCTCTTTCCCTCACATCCCGCATTGATTTAAGCAATTGCTCAGTTGCTCAAGTAAAACTGAGGATAATGGTAATGTGATGTTAGTCTTATAGATGTTAAATCATGAAGTGTAGTGGTTTAATTTTACACCACCGAAGTGAGACTGAACACTTTCCAAAATAAACCTTAACAGTAAACACAGATTTAGATTTTTGTAAGCACAATCCAATCCTGGGGCTATCATTATCTTAAAATGTTCCATTCAGGAGCACATGTGTTTGGGTCTTTAGATTTTACCCCAATTTTGAATTTACATTAATAAATTTGACCATGGAAGGGTGCAAAATCTATTTTTTTTAAATAATTTTTTGACTAATTGGTAAATCACTAATTTTATAAAATGGGGCGAAAGGTCAAGTAATTAGTTTTCTGAGTATAGTATTTCAACAAAAGCTTTTGTACCTGCTGTTGTGACATGAAGGATGCACATCTGGCACGCTATTAAAGAAATAATAAATTGCTCGCAGCTGTCTTTCCTCTGGTGTTTAACATTTGAAACTGATTGCAACTTCAGATTTCAAACAGTCTTTTGTAGTTCTATTGATCCACACAAGTTAAAGTTATCAAATATGACATAAGTTGATTTTGTGAAATTGTAAATTCAGGCTGTGATCTTGTTTTGAATTGTTGTTTGTGCTTTAATTTATTAACTAGGAAGTTAGTGTGATCCTGCAACATAAAAGGTTTCTAAGAAGATGTAAATTTAATCATATATATTGTGTGATGAAATAAGCAGACTAATTTGGGGTTTTAATTTGTAGTATTTCTTAGCAAGATTCTTTGATAAGAAATCCAATTTGGGAAAATACTATTCTGACAGTGTTGCACAATTTAAAACTCTGTTACAGGATATGATATTCAGATAGCTAATTAGAAATGTTTACCCTGAACAATTAGACATTCTTGGTGCTTTTAATGTTTTCAGTGGAAGGAATATGAGGAAAAACGAGAAAGAGAATACATTAGTTATAAGGAAGCATCAAAATGATTTTTTTTAAAAAGCTAAGATAATTGTCATATCTGTTCATGTGTGACTATGTGGGATATTCTTTGCTCCCAGTTTCTAATATTCCTCTTGATCATGACTATCTAAATAATTTCCTGGTTGCTTGCTTTTTTTCCTTAGTGTTTAGTTACATTGTACTCTGAGGGAATTCGTTAAATGTTTACAACAACTATTGCATTTAGATAGAGTAGCATCTCGGAGCGCATAATCATAGCATAGTTTGACACTTAGCTGGGAGAAAAGGGAGGTGACCTTGGCACAGTCAAAGAGAAAAGTCTTTAGGTGTGTTCTGAAGACAGTGCTCCTTTGTCTTTCAATTTTGTTGGGGGCATTTTATTGTGATCCTCAAGTTGAGGGTTGTTATGACTGGGCAGTTTTGTGTTGTGAAAACTTGGAACTAGGGTGGAATGACTTTTAATGCATCAGTATGAGCCTCATTCAACCTTAAAATATCAAAATGAAAGGGCAATAGGTATACTAATCTACTGCAACACCAAGTCCCTATCGTTTTCGTTTACGTGCTTAAAAAATATTGTATGTGTTATTCATGACTTAATTTTTTTTCTTCCCAGGAATGCCTTTGACAACACCACCACCAGGTATTGTTTGAGTATTTTTTTGTCATGGTGCTATAATTTGTTTTGAAGATTTGTTTCAGTATTTCATTCAGTCTGTTTCCTTTTAGTTCACAATTGTCCTTTTATATGATCATATTTCAATGATAACTGTATATATGGAAAATTTTTCAGTGTCAAAGGATTTTTTTAAGGATAGATGAAAATAATGTTTCCACATTGGAGTTTTATGGTTTAATATTTGCATAAGGAAGTGACAACTCAACATAAGCATCAATTTAGAAATTTACAAAATGTATCTTTTGTCAATGTCTTGAAGTTAAATTGTTTTCAAAGAAACGGTTTGATAACTTTTCAGGTTTTCTGCCTCCACCTGGAGCTCCACCACCTTCACTTGTGCAATTGGAAAGGTAAATAGACAGACATTCCTTTCTCGATATAATTTTGTGCTGATTTCAGTAAAACCATTATAATCTACTTCAAGTATGTTTACTTTTGTTTATGGAATCCCCCCTTACCCACATTCTTTTTATATCCCAGTTTCTGCTGTTCATCAACCAGAAAACCAAAAGAATCTGAATTTGTCCCAAACTGTGGTGCTGTTTGTGATCCGCTTGTCGGGTTGAGAACATCTCGTGGGTGGCACTGCTTCAAGTTTAGTCTTCGATTTCATTCATGTCAAAGTTACGAGTTGAAATGTCTCAATTGCTAAAAGGCTACATTCAACGGAGTACAGACTATTTAAATAAATCTACCTTATGAATAAGCAAATCTTAAATTCTTATACTTTACCATTGTAGGTGATGATCAGTACGTCTCAGTAGTAGAAAAGAGCACTAGGTGCCTCCTGTAGACCAAAACGTGCCGAATGAGAGCAGTTAAGCCGTGGCTGTTTCTGAGGCAGAATTTATTGAAATGTCTGTTTTGTTCAATGTAATCCTTTTGGCAATGGAACATTGGTGGTTTTCAAACATTCCAAAGTCAAAGCTAAACTGAAATTCTGGTTTACATCAGGAAGCAATTCCTGACATTCAAAACTGTGCTTTCAGACCAGCAAAGAGAAGAGATTTTTAAAGATGTACAGTACTTGGTTTGCTAAAGTTTCTCTGGCAAACAGTTAATGTACAAGAGTTGCTGGATATGAGTTGCTGAAAGATGCTGCAATATTTAAGGATAATTAATGTGGTCTTTTTAAACTGATGCAATATTTTTCATAAGTGTTAAATTAAATAAAGTCTTAAATTGTGACTATTTTGTCAGCAAACATGGCAGCCATTTTGAACACAGCAAAGTTCCACCTAATGTGAACAATTAATAATCTGGGGAATTATTAACCAAGACTGGGAGAAACTCCTTCCTTTTTTTGAATATATTTGTATTTTCATTGATTTATATTTGAACAGATGGACAAGTCCAGAGGCAAAGACTAGAGCTTAGACTAGAGGCAAAGTGAATTTCTCTGTATGATAGAACAATATGCTTTAACCTTAAATTCAGAGGAAAGGCCTCTCCTTTTGCATGCCAACTTCCCAAGTGGCTTCTCTTGTGTGAGATTACCAATTTGTGCAAACCTGTGGGCAGTGTTATGTTGTGGGCCTGCCATCACCAGCAACTAAATTTAGATCCACAGCTTCATTTAAGGTATAGGATCTTGAAACCAACAGAGAAAGGACCTTTCATCCTATTCATTTGGAATAAATCTAAGCCTACGTCATAGAAGGCAAAGAATGTCATGCTAAAGTATTCTGTCGCCAGTTCTTTTGTGCATTCATTATTTAATGTGTCCTGGGCAACAATCCCCCAAATAAAATTGGTTATTCACTTCATTGCTGTTTGTGGGGATGTTGCTCCATGTAAGTTGGCTGCTGTGGTCACCCACAAAACCCACATTCACACCACTTTACAGTAAGTATATCCTGCAAAGCATCCTCCTGACGTGAAAAGCACAATATCAAATGTAAAGATTGTTATTATTATTGGGTATGTAAATTTGGGCATGTGCTCAGAAGGTATCATATTAAGTTATGAGACAAGAGAAATAACAATTTGCATTTATATAGCGACCCTTTAGCCAAAGTAGTGTCCCAGAGTGCTTTATGTAGTCCCAGAAGCTAGTATATCTGTGGGAAAAATAAAGATGCATCAATGTAGCTCTGGATAAGTCACCATTCGACAGTTTGGTCCAATAAAAAGCAAGTTTCCATTGTGACATTGAATCTCTTTAATAACTTTCTTGAGCAATTTCATTCATAGAACTGAGATGTACAAATATTGTTAATATTTAATAAATAATACTCAGATGATGATGAGGTACTTTTGATTCTGCATTAAACTAAGGTCCCATCTGCCTGTTCAGGTTGGTGTTAACAATCGCATTGCACTTTTGAAACAGAGCATTTCTCCTAGTGTCTGGTCCAACAATTCTCCAGATTAAATTGGTCATTCACTTCATTTGTTTGTGGGTATTGTGCATATTCGATGCTGCATTTGTCTCAAACACAGGCACTACACGTTACAGTAAAACACTTTGAGAGTTTTGATAATATCAAATGCAAAGATTATTATTAAATATTAAAAAATGCATTAAATGACTGTATACAGGTGCCTAGTTTTAGAACCTTCGTGGTTTATTGGAACCAAAATGAAAGCCTTGTTTCTAACTGTTGGCTTGCTTGCAAGAGTTCATTCATATGCCACCCACATATGTTGGCTACTGCTGTAGTGTAAAATCTGGTAAATGTGAAGCTGATTTAAAAAGATATTTATAGAACAATGGATTAATAGCCCACCTGTTTATAACTTGAGTCTCTTGGATGAGTTTACCTATATTAATGTAGTACCGGAAGGATATATGGAAGTATTCAATCGAGGATCGGCTTATTGCCAACCTGATGGGTAGTGAGCAAGGTAGCCTGCCAATTCGTAAGTGCGTAGGTTTCCAAATCCAACCTGCACCTTAAATACTAAATTGAAGCCAGCCACATCAAACACCACAGTAAAGCTGTGTTGCAGTTCTGAGGAAACTTTGAAGCACATTTAGCACATTTAAAGGCTATGGATTAGAGCAGTTTATGACTCTGTGGTCCCTAAAATATAGATTTTTGCTTAGCATTTGAGTACTGTTTTCAAAATTGCTGGGAGATTTAATATGGGAGCATTCCCAGATTTTTCCCCCTGCTTTCAAGAATATTTTTTTTTAAAAAACACTTCTAAAGAAATCACAGTGTAGATGAAAAGTTTAGTTGACAATTTGCGAAATCAGTGGGGTCAAGTCTGTTCAAAATGGTTTCTTGTTTTTACAATTATTTCAGCCCCATCGAGCAAACGTCAAATTCCCTACTCAGTATAACTATTTCAGACCAGATTTACTGAACATTTTACAATCTTCCCTCATTTTTCATGACATAATAATAATAATAATCCTTGCATTTGATATAGCGCTTTTCACGTCGGGAGGACGTCCCAAAGCGCTTCACAGAACACACTGTAAAGTGAATTGACTGTATATTTGTGGGCGAACGCGGCAGCCAATTGCGCACAGCAATGTCCCACAAACAGTCTTAGATTGAAAATGACCAATTTATTATTGTTTTTGGTTTTGGAGGGATTATTATTAGGCTCTGTGTGGAGTAAGGAAACTTGCCCAAGGTTTCGCCCTGTGCCTGGAATTGAACTCAGGTCTCTCACTTGCAAAGCGAGTGCTCTAACCACTGAGCTACAGGACTCCACGTGATTTGCTATGGATAGTGACACTACAAAATTTAAACAGAAATGAAATCTTACCTGCATAAAGTAAGTTGATTAAACTAGATTAATTATGGTATAAAAGTTTAGATTTTCAGGTACTGCTAGATTTGAGATGCTTGTGTAGATTCAACATACAAACTCATCGGATTGATTACGGATAATCAGAAAAATTGTCAAACAGTTTAGAATTTGTTAGAATGTAAAATACTTTTCTACAAATGGTTACTGAAGTCAAGAGCACAGCAGCATTTGAAAGAGAATTGGATACAAAGAATTGGGTTATAGAAGGTAGCTCCCGGGGTTTGAATGGCCTTTGCTAGAACTTTTTTATGATAGTTCTGAGATTTGGATGTGAAGATTCCCTCTCCCCCTGGCTCGGGGTTAGACTCAGCCACTGTCAAGCACTCTGGGACGCTACCCCACGTGAAGGCCGCTACATAAATGCAAGTTGTTGTTGGTAGAGTTTGGAATTGGAGAAGTGACTGGATGTGTTTACAGTTTTTGTTTTGGTGTTTATCACCTTTTTTACATTTTGATGTTTTTATCAAAATGAAAGATGAGAACACTGGAAAAGGACAATGTTTCAATGTTTGGCTTCTGAAAAGCACAGTTCAGCGATACAGGAGCTGGATGGAGAGTAAATTTCTTTACTCGGTTCCAATCATTTCAAAGGAGTACTTGCTCTCTTTTGCATAAGTATATTTTTTCCACAACACCTGTCTGAACAACAATCCCAATTTTATATTAATTCCATATTTTTTTCCATCTTTGTGTTTTCCAAATGTGTTTCAAGCAGCAGCGTGGAGACTGAGAGAGAGAGGAGTGGGGGGGGGGGGGGGACAGGTTTGGGATAGATTTCAACCCAAGTCTCAGTAGTCAAAAAGCAGTATGCTGACCTATTGTGACACCCAGGAGCCTGAGTTCATATAGTTCTAATGCATATTTCAAATCTGTTAAATACTATGTTTCCTCTCTATTTTTATGATAAGTTACCCATTGCGGAAATAATTACAAATTCTTATTTTTGTGGTTTCCAGTGGAGCTCCACCCTACAACAATCGTGCCGCTCCTCCGTTTGGATACTCAACCAATGGTAAGTGTGTCCTATGGTTTCATTCCATTTTAAGAATAACTCAAATTATCAAGACAATTACTTGAAATATTCTCTTTTGCAATGAACATTTCTTACACAGTTTAAGGTGAACAAAGAAAAATAAACTTTAAAAATAAAGTTGCAAAGATATTAAGCATTCTCTTAATATGCCCATTCCAGTCATTCTATTTGATAAGTGCTTATAAGAACATTGGAAATAGTAGTTTGGAAGAGTTACTGAATAGTTGAAAGATTCTGAATTATTTTGCACAAAGTATGATGAACTATCCATGAGTTTCACTATATTTTTGTCATTATTAAGCATGTCATATTATTAATAGTTTCTCAGAAACCCTTCAAGTCTCCGTGTCTGTTAATCATCAGAACTTAAATTATATTTTTAAAAATGATCAAAATACACTGCAAGATTGGTCAGGGACAGGATGTGGGGTAGGAAACACAACCAGCGATCGAACTGGATGTGAGGTCGTGCACAGATTTGGTGAGTCTGAGAGGTAGACCAGGGAGATTAAAGAGGTCGGAGCCACAGATGAAAAGACATTGCTGGAGGCCAAGGAGGATTGCTTCTGTCTTACGGTACAATACAAATTTACATTTCTATAGTGCCTTTCTCGTCAGTAGGACCTCCCAAGGCACTAGACAGTCTTGGCTTGGCATTTGAGTTGAGGGTGGGGGCTGAGCAGTTGGGGAGGGCAAAGGTGACTGGAGGCACAGTCAAAAAGGAAGATCTTGAGATGGTGCTTGAAAGAGGTAAACGAGTCGGATGGAATCCTCGATGGAGTTCCAGAGAGTAGGGGCAGATGTGCAGGAAAAAAAATTGTCAATGGTAATAGTTAAAATGTGTTACTATTAATTATTCTTATAATTATTAATAATTGATAGTAAGAATAAAATGCTATACAATTTATTTTAATTGACTTAAAGTGTAATACTGTTATACACATTGAATTCTGGGGAAGGAAAGAAAATGCTGTGACTATTTGTACAAGTAGGGAAGAAAAAGACGGACATCAAAATCTATTTTTGGGTGGGCGGGAGTAAACTAAACAATAACATTCATCTGTAATCTAATCGAATAGCTATTTCATGTTGCTTTGATACCATATATAGTAATGTGACAGAATTTTCAAAATTGTATCTTCCCATTTGTGCTCCTTTCAGCTGGCTGCGTGATGTCAGGTAAATTCAAACCCAGAGTTAACTATTATTTGCTCAACCAGGACTGTGGGAGTATGCATGAAGCAGTGGGAAATCTGATTTGCTTGTTGATGGCCAAGACCAGTTACTCGTCTTTCTCTGCTGCTGCCAATCACCAATCCAGACATCTGCCCTTGTTGTCTTTGTTGTGCTATACTGTAAGACACTCGAGAGGAAAATTGATTTGGCAATGGACGTGTAAGCGGGAAGACCAGTTGTATATAGTAGGATGTTTTTTTCCAGAGTTAGTTTGATCCATATAAATTGAAGCTGCCGATTAGATCATAAAGGCGCACACTTCAGTGCATGCAGCATTTACACACCAATATTTTTTCTTTTGTAAATGTTTTATTGCCATTAAGACATTTAATTGAACTAAAATTGTAGGTTTTCTTAGTGTTTGGCATTTTTTTTTAGTTGTGTTTATTTGGTAAAGCTAACCTATATACGTAGTATTTGATCACACTCCTCCCGAACATTGTATTCTAATCGAGCCCTGCATTTTCATACTCTGTAGGGAAGGTGAAAAGGATAACTGTATCAGGTCAGACTGCATTAGACATTCACATTGAACAGAAGTGCTATGGCAGGAAGCTGAAAGATAAAATTAAATGTATCTAATCTTTGCAATCTCATTGAATATCCTGAAAACTTTTTTTGCCTATTTCCATGCAGTAGGAATTGCAGTTAGACTGAGGGACTCCACCTTGTGGTTTCTGCATACGCTTAAATGTTAGGACATTGGTTGTGGTGGTTTCTTTATAATATTATAAAGATGTGAAGTTGAAGCTGGGTTTATGCTTTCCACTTGACATCACTTTCAAATGAGTCTGAAAACCCTTCAGATAACCAAGTTGATACCAAAGCCAGGTACTTGTTTTATAACGTTATCAAAGAACTGAACATGTGATCAGCTCTTTAATAGCATTGACCAAATGTCTGTTTAAAATTCTTTGGTGACTTTCTGAGAGTCTTGAATGGAGAACAGATGAGTGAATCCACTATCATTCACATCCGTCTTCAACGTTAGGTGATTTCAGGAGCAGGGCTCTATCTCATCTTATGCTGACTGAGACGCTGTTTCTACTGCACTTTTGGTAAGAGTAGTCACTGCCCAAATTGTAAAGATTCATTATGACTGTGTAGTAAAACAGGCAAGCAGCCAAATCATACTAACAAAGAAAAATGGCTACTTCTAATAGCTTGCATTTATGTACAAATAAACGAACAGCTCTGCAAACTGTAATTGATTAGAAATTAAGCAAATGTTATATAGGCCAACATGGCCTATAGCAAGGCTACTGTCTGCACCGTATCTAACCATGTACCCTGAAGGTGACGGGGGCTAAAAGTTGAAAATCAAATGTGAATACCGACAAGAGCAGCTTGCACTTTTATACAGCACCTTTCACATAGCACGAATGTCTTGCAGTGTTTCACAAACCTGACGGGGACCATCTACAACCTGATCAGATGTTTGGATTTCAGCTATTTAGAGGTGATCTGAGATAATAAGCTATACTTTTTCACTTCTCGTTTTAATGACCTTTTAGAACTCTGCTTTATATGTGCTCTAAATATATTTTTAATGAAACATCTATTAAATTAACCAAGGAAATATTACTTCAAGGCCTGAAAAATGTGTTTTGATATTGGAGAAGGATAGTAATGATTGTAATCAATTATATTTCACATCATTTTTCAGATTATGGTAATTTGACCTATCCCAATATCCCAGTTTCTTCTTCCTGGACAACTCTAATTGATAATAACAATAAGCAGCCTCAGCAGCAGCCACAGCACTGGGATTATTATCCCCGGAGAGAGAGGGAAAGGGAACGTGAACGGGATCGCACCAGAGAACGAGATCGTGATCGCGACAGAGAACGAGAACGTGATCATGAGCGAGAGCGGGACCGGAGCCCCAGTTCAAGTGCTTACAACGGGTACGTTACCAAATCTCTTCAAGTACTGTCGTGGGATATCAGGGTTTACAGTTGATTTATCTGTTTGATTGCCAGATCCTTCCACTTGTCTTGTTTGCTGCCCTTTTAGCTCACATATGTAATGCTCTGGGAGCACAATTCACCAAATGCTAACTTTAGCCACATGTTAACAAAATCTATTTTAACTTGGCTGAGCTGATGATTTTTTTTAGGTAATCGGGGAGTTATCATGACTTTTTGGTCACCCTGTGTATATACACACTGACTTAAGTCCTTGGGAGGGATATGTTTACACTACACTGATATGTGTGGATTGCATTGGAGGTCAGTCATTACCATAGTTCAGTCATCTTCTGGCAGGAGTCTGTGAGAAGTACATGGTTGCTATGGTGAAATGTGAAGAGAAAATCCAGTGATTACAAGAGTATTCAAACCATTTAATAAAGATGAGTCAATGGCTTGTGTTTATAGGATGAATTGAAATATGTATAAATTGTTTCATTGGTATTATCTGTTTAATGAAAGTAATTGGGTTAAAGGAATGTTTTGCTTCCTGCAGGATAACCTATTAAGTGGCTTCTCTGCATTCACACTCTCACCATGGATAATTTGTTAATTTCTGAAGCTGTTCTCTCATACTACAGTTATATTGTGGACACTATTTTAACAATTAAACGGGATTTGCAAGTGGTGCAAATTCACCCACAAAATACACAGTCACACCACTTTACAGTACATCCTGTGAAGTGCTTTGCGATGTCTCAAGAATTTGATAAGGCGCTCTTATCAAATGCAAGGATTATTATTAATATTCTAAAAGTAGGCTCCACCATGTTATACTGTCTGCTTGCCTGCACAACCGTGTGGTCAGTAAGTGGAGATCTGTGCACTTAAACCCACATGCAGAGAGCCTACCCATCCCTCCCTCCACACCTTCGAACCTGTCTCCCACTCCTCTCTCACCACCATTATAACCCGCATGAAACCAACCACCCGCTCCCTCCATCCCATCCTTACCCCTCTCCTTGCCTCCCAGCTCTACCTCCTTGCCCCTCTACTCACAGACATTATAAACCTCTCCCTGCCCACTGGTACTGTTACCACCCCATTAAAAACGGCCGTCCTTAAAAAACCCTCCCTGGAACCATCACTGCTCTCAAACTACCGGCTCTAACGGCTCTGACCTTGACTGGTTCAGATCGTACCTCTCAGGCATCCTCCACTTCATCTCCACAAACGGTTTCTCCTCCAGCCCTGGCACCGTCTCGTGCGGCATTACTTGGGGCTCTATCCTGGGTCCCCTCCTCTTCAATATCTATATGCTCCCTCTTGGTGACATCATCCGCAGACATGGGGTCAACTTCCACATGTATGTGAATGATACCCAACTGTACCTTTCTGCCTCCACCCTGGACTCCAGAACCACTGCTGTGCTGACAGAAAATCTGTCAGACATCATTCTGTCAGAATATCTCATCCTGGATGAGAGTTAACTTTCTTCAGTTGAACGTCAACAAGACCGAGGTTCTCCTGATTGGCTCCCGTCAGCGCCTCCTCACCTCAGGCGCTGACAGCATCACCATCCATGGTTGCACACTCCACCTCACTAAGCCAGTCCGAAACCTTGGGTTCTTGTTTGACCCTCAATTATCCTTTCTAACCCACACCCATGCCATGACCCGCTCTGCCTTCCCCCACCTTAAAAACCCTCCCTGGAACCATCACTGCTCTCAAACTACCGGCTTTAACGGCTCTGACCTTGACTGGTTCAGATCGTACCTCTCAGGCATCCTCCACTTCATCTCCACAAGCGGTTTCTCCTCCAGCCCTGGCACCGTCTCGTGCGGCATTACTTGGGGCTCCACCACTGTCTCACACCACAGGCCACCAAAACTCTCATACAAGTTTTCATTACATCGAGGCTCAACTATGCAAACTCACTGCTTGTCGGCCTCTCCAACTCTTTCCCTCCACAGGCTGTAGATCATCCAGAACTCTGCAGCAGTGTCACTCCCACACCAAGCTCCGCGACCCTATCACCCCCATCCTCACCCGACTCCATTGGCTTCCCATCACACAGATGGTACAGTTCAAGATCCTGGTCCTCACCTTCAAAGCACTCCATAGCCCTGCTCCCCCCTACCTCTGCAACCTCCTACATTCCTACCACCCTTCCTGCTTCCTCTGCTCAGCGGGCTTCGGCCTGCTTCATGTCCCCCACCTCGCCCAACCCACCATTGGTGGCCAAACCTTCTGCCACTTTGCTCCCACCCTCTGGAACTCCATCCCGCCGTCGTTCCACCTCACCCCCTCCCTCGCCTCCTTCAAGACCCATCTCAAGACCCTCCTCTTCGACCGTGCCTTCGATCATCTTGCTTCCCGCCCCCCAGCTCGAGTCCAAAACTCTGACTGTCCAGCGCTTTGGGACGTCCTCCGGACGTGGAAGGCGCTATATAAATATAATTTTGTAGTTGATTGCCTTTGGTTATCTTTGTCCAAAAATCTGTGAAGGGGAAAACTATTGCACTGCCTCTAGATTTTTCCATTTAATATGTTTTATTTTTTTTCTTGTTTATTCAGCAATAGAAGGATTCATATAAGAGTCAGATGTCACCTTTTATTAGCCAGGAAATGGAGGATAATCTCAACCACAAATATACAGTCAATTCCCTTTACAGAATACTCTGTGAAGCACTTTGAGACGTCTAGAAGACGTGAAAAGCTCTATATCAAATGCAAGGATTATTATTATTTTATTATAATTGGATGAGAACTTCTGTGCCAGTTCTCTTTGGTCCTCTTACTGAAGAGAGAATCCCATCAAAATGAGGTATTGCACCAAGCAGCCAGCCGAGAACTCAGCAGGTGAGGGTGTGTGATGAGCATTCCTGTATCAGACCCTGGATTCATTTGGCTGTCAGGCAAATGCAGTAACTGGCTCCCAGCTCAGTTCTGTGTGTGGTGCTGGTAGTATAGATGTATGGCGTCACCAGTCTGCAGCATTCTATTTTATCAACTGTTCATAGATTATTAAAACTCACTTTAGTAGTATAATAATAATGATCTTTGCATTTGATATAGCACCTTATCACACTGTCGAGATGTCTCAAAGCGGATCGCAGAATGTACTGTAAAATTAAATGACTAATTTTTTGTGGACAAAGCAAAGCCAATCGCGCACAGCTGTGTCCCACAAACAGTCATGGATTGAGTGACCAAATTATCATTTTTTTTAATGGGAATATTACCCCCAGAAAGCGATCCGCCAATCGACTAACAACCGAGTTCCTACTTACTGCTAGGTAAACAGAGTAAGGCGTGTGGAGTAAGGAAACTTGCCTAAGGTTTCACCCCGCCCAGGAATCGAACACGGGTACTTTAGTGTATAGTTACACTATTCCAATTAAGTGTCGAATTCTGGTTGCAAAGCATTATTATGTGATCTTAGCGAGTCTTGGTTGTAAAACCAAGTGACAGAGTGTTGGTGCGTTTTTTATTTTCTCTGTAGGAGTAAAGATTGCTGCCATGTGGGATTGTATTTATGCATGTGTGTGTGTGCGTGTGTTACAAATTACAGGGTCAAAGCTAGTGAGCTAGAGCAGATAGAACATCTGTTTGTTGGGCAACTTGCAGGGGCCAAGAGGAGGGAGGGCTGGTCACTGATGCCTGGACAAAATGAATGGTAATGACTTCCAGCACAGGAGAAATCTCTGTGCTGCTGCCAAAATTGTTGGAGTGGGGGAGGGGAGAGGGAGAGAGAACAGGACTGACTTTGGATGGGGCTGAATTATTTACCATCTGTGCCAAGCTGCTGCCACATGTCTCAGGAAAAAAAAGTAAGAGCAGTTAATTCATAAAAGCTGGATTTGAAATGAAAAGTGCTCCATATGTCAGGTAAAGCAGGAAGATTAATCTACCTTGGTCAGGATACCATCTCCTTGTACTATAGCGACAACCCTAGGAAGAGGAAAACAGGATACAAAATATTTTAAGAGTAATAAATGAGAATTATGATGGAGGTTTGAAGTGCTGTTGTTTTTTGTCAGGTGTAGGAAATCTTAGAAGTATAGTCTCTCAACATTGAGTTCATTTTTACCTTCAAACTAATTTTGTCTTGTAAATGAGTGGATTTTCATTACTGCACCACTCAAACTTTTATTGTACACAAATATTTGTTCCTTTTGGGATTGCAGTAGAATATGTTCAGAGACATGATTATTAACTTGAGCGTTGAGGAATGCTCAAACAAATGCCCTCAATTAAAAGCATTAATGAGGAATCCATCTTATTGAAATCCAAATATAGCCAGAAGCAAAACTACCTAAAACCGTAAAGCTCATAGTAAACCTAGGTCTTTTATCTCCATTCACTTGGAACTTATACCAAGATGGTAAAAGCGCTCCAAGTCGCTATCCTGCATGAACAGTACAATATAAATGCAAGTTGCTGATCTTGAAATGGTGTATTTTGCAGCGAATTCAATTTATGCTATTTTTATGTTGCTTTATTGTTTTTAAGCGTCCATGTTGTATTAAAGAAAGTTAATATTCAAATCAAGTCAGCATGAAAGCAAAATTGTCGTTTTTATATTTTGTTTTAATATATAATGAATTTTTAAAAGAATTCATATCAATTTTTTTTAATCATCCTGTCTTCTAATGGCCTGTTTCTTATGAAGGTAGGATATGAGATTGGCAAGATTCCCAAAGCAATACTTGGCTCGATTGTTAGAATTATTGTATCACTGTCACTGCCCAATGCAGTATTCTTCCAAATGAAATTTTAACCCAGGTCTCCCGTTGGCCTATTTGGGTAGACATTGACAATCCCATGACTTATTTTGAAAAGGAACGGTAGTTTATTCTAGTATTTTGGCCAACAATTCTCCAGATAAATTGAGTCATATACTTCATGGCTGTTTGTAGGACTTTGCATTCAAATTGACTGCTACATTTGCCTACAAATGCACAGTCATCGTACTTGACAGCACTCATCTGTGAAGTGTTTTGAGATACTTTGTACTTGATGTGAAATCAAATTTAAAAATGTATTTAGCTGGGTGGAGGGGAGTCTGCAAGGAACAATGTTAATTTTTAAGCACCTGCCTAGAAAGAAAGAGAAAATTGACAGTACTCATTCTGCATTTTATTTATCCTCCACCTAGCAGTTGGGTCCAGGAGTTACATTGACATAGACCTGGAAAATGATCACTTTTCACTCAGCTGTGAGATGTTGAATACCATGGGAGGAACCTTAGCAAAGTGAGAGGGTCTGTGCTGAATTCAAGGAAGTCATCAATCGATTGTGGATTCTGTTTTTTATGATGCTTGAATCGATGATGGTACAATTTGTAATTTGTGTTGTGTTAAAAGGAACACAGGGCTGCAGGAAGCCCTGCTGCCACCTTAATGAATGTTCAGTGAAATCTTTAAATGGCTGAGATTTGTGGATAATTTCCATATAGTCTATTTTTATAGAGGGGAAGCAGATGATTGGGAAATTGTCTTGTCAAATTTTGAAATTCAGAAAGTTTAACACTGCAGAGTGTTCAGCTGGTATTAAACCTTAAATTGCTGAGGCCTACAGATAGATTAGGATAAGAAAAAGATACTGGTCTATGTTCACTCTAAAGCCATTTCCTGATGTCAGTCGAGTGGTTTGTCTCAGAAAAGTGAATGAGGGGAATTTAAAAAAAACAATTCTTAACAAATATTTAAGTCTTGTTTAAAATAAGTCGCTGCATTAGTTCACGTTAAAAGTACTTTATTCTCTGTTGTGGCCCCATTAACAACTGTGTGGCTATGGGGTTTTCACTCTGAGAGTTTAATACAGCTCAGACTGATTGGATAAAAGTCTCAAAATGTATTAGTTATTCACCTTATGGCTTATTGTCAAACAGTCACTACACTTTACAGTAGTTTGTTGTGAAATGTTTTGGGACGTGATGTGAAAATTATACGTTCTGTTAATTGAGGCGAGCAAACTGAATGTTATTTAAGGTGGAAACCAGTGTTTGTGTTTGCACCACTGAAAGGTCTGTTGTTCTCATTGAGCAGCTTGTTAAATTGGCCATGTAATTACAGGGACGTGCAGAGCAAGCGTAATGTCTTTTGCAGGTGTAGAGTGGGTGAAGCTGCACAGTTTCCCAGCAGCTGGCAATAGCTCTGAAGAGGTCTGTGAGCATCAGTTCATTGGCGAACAGTAGTGGGTGGCGTGAGAGGCAGCACGAGTTCTAATTCTTCTAAGAGATGCTGAAGTAAACTTACTTTTTAGAGTTTGTGATACTGAGCTCCAGATTGTGTTTGAAAGGCTCTAGAGTTGATTATTGTACTTTGTTGAAGGGTTAATTGATACTCCACATTGTGGTACTCTGGTTGAACAGATTCATTCAGAAATAGTTGCAGCAAATACCCCCAGGAAATTTGACTCAAATTTGACCAGTCAACGTGGAGTCCTGTAGCTCAGTGGTTAGAGCACTCGCTTTGCAAGTGAGAGACCTGAGTTCAATTCCAGGCAGGGCAAAACCTTGGGCAAGTTTCCTTACTCCACACACCTAATAATAATCCCTCCAAAAACAAAAACAATAATAAATTGGTCATTTTCAATCCATGACTGTTTGTGGGACATTGCTGTGCGCAATTGGCTGCCGCGTTCGCCCACAAATATACAGTCAACTCACTTTACAGTATATTCTGTGAAGCGCTTTGGGACGTCCTCCCGACGTGAAAAGCGCTATATCAAATGCAAGGATTATTATATTATTATTAGGGATGTAACTAACTAGTACTTTCATCTCTGTGACTTTGTTGCCATGCGCAGTTCATTTTGTAAAATGATGGCTGTTGTGGAAAACTGTCTTGTAGTATCTGAGCCAGGAAAGGATGTTTAGGAATTTAAATCAAAGCATGAATACATTTTTTTTGTAACTTTGTTAGTTCTTGCTCCTGTTGCAGTACAGTAATTGACACTTTGTTGTGCCTGCTTAATTGTGCATGTTGTCTGGAAGCAAGGCTGCCTGCAGAAGGCAAACCATTTTGGATAATTTAAGATAAAAGATGGTCTCCCATTTCTCATTTTTCATCTTGTGTGCCACAAAGAGCTGCTTATGGTTGTTGCACGACTTCCTTCATGAGGATTAGATCGCTGGGAACACCAACGGGCGAGAGCTATACCTATTTGTTGTTTTTGTGTGGCTCACCAGTTTCTCATTAAGTGGAATGCTGATACACCTTGAAATACACATTTGTGACTGCATTTGATAATATTTGCAATTAGCAGCAAGATTTGTTTTGGGTAGTTTTCCTTTTACACTTCTGCATGAATGGAATGTGAAAGCGTCTTCTGCCCAGCTCAGACTGGGGATGCAAAAGACACTTCATGATACCACCTACTTTTATTATATCACTGCATTTCTCTGGGTTTGCATTTCATTAATATCTTTGGGAGCCAAATCCTGCAACTTTTTCACATCCTCAGTTGTTGCCGACTCTGCAGCTGTCTGAGAAATTGGAGGGTAAGGCCCCAAAGCGGCCTCACTCTAAACTATTTGTTATTTTAAAATACAGCCCATTAATTCATTATAGTACAGGAGGGGTTGGGAAGGGCAATGGGCTAAGAGCTAACGCCAAGTGCCAGTATGTATCCAACCTCTGAAATACTGTGAAGATATTAAACCTGATCAGGCAGCTTGTGTGACAAGTGGGATCTGTTTTAAATACGTTTGAGAAAGTACTGCTCGATGTCTGTTTCACAAGCACACCTTTCATAGGATGATTGACTTCAATAGTTTTCTGTCATTGTTTTTTAAGTGGAGAGGTTGCTTATAGCGAAAGCCCTCTGGCAGCCTAAAATGTTACTTTAGTGCTTGCTCTAGGGTGTTTTTCCTACCTTATTAAGAATCCTTGAATTGGTTTAGCACTGATAACATCAAACTATCTCGAACCGCTGCTGGGGAATTGGTTCTAAGTTTTGTGACTGTATCGTGCAACTGCTAAATGGATTTAATGCATTGTAAACTTGTTTTTGATCTTCCTGTTCTATCTTTGCTTACTTTACCTATTTGCATGATTTCCATTCTTTCCTCTAATACATTTTTTAGCTGAGTTGATCAGTGTCATTTTCTCTTGTACAAAAAAAACTTGTTTATGTTGTCAAAGTTAGGATGCAGCATTACCAGAAAGGCATTGCTTTCTTTTCAACACACATCCAATGTAATAAATTTATTCAGTGGTAAATATTACTGAAAGCATGTGTCATAACAAAGAAGACTTTGGTTTACTAATTGAAGAAATGCCTTTTGCTGTGAAGACTCTTATTTCATCTTGTGGTTTCTTTTTTGCTTTGGCAGGTTTACACATTTGTGAAAGCTTAACACCACATGTTATTACTAAGCAAGCTGCCTCATACAAGTCTGCTTCCTTCAGTGGGCTAATGCTAAGCATTCTTGATGTATGAAACCTGTTTTGCTTTATGTGAATCATAGCCACAGTACTATTTAGGGAATGGGAGACATTTTTACTAGAATGGGCCATTTATACCTTAGAGACTATTTAGTTGTGAGTATGCACTTTTAAAAATGCATTTTACTCTCTCTAATCTTCATATTGTGTGACAGTCCTTATGAAACTGCTTTACCAACCACATCTTGAGATTTAAACCTGTCTTTTAATATACCTGCCCATTGCATATAATGAAACGTCAGTGGTACGTGCAACAATTAGTGCTTTATGCTCTTACTGACATCCATTGTTTGTCTCAAGCAGGATATATTATGAAGAAACAAAATGCATGTGAATTAGTCAGACACAAACTCCATCTTGAATGCTAAGAGAATAATTTGGTAGATAAAAGGAAAATGCTGCAAAAGCAGAAAATGCGCATCTCTTCAGGGGAACGTTTAGATATTTGTATTGTGCTTCAAATTGGGCAATTTTTTTAAAGAGTTTTTCTTTTCCTCTTTCCTTGCTTCCCAAACCAGTGAAGAAGGTCGGTACAGACACAGAGACTATCAGTCAGACAAAGTCTACGATCGTGATTACCATCACAGAGATAAAGTTAGCAGAGAAAAAGAAGATCGTCACAAAGAACGACGCCACCGGGACAAAGAGGAGGGTAGACACAAATCATCAAGAAGGTATCAACATCAAACAAACGTTTTTTTTTTCATACGTTTTCAGATTGCTCCGCAGCAATAAATCATCTTACTGCTACCACTCACATTTCATGATGCAGCATGTTTATATATTAAAGCTCAGTATGTTTCTATGAATACAATACAAAAATTACATTTGTAAAGTGCCTTTCACGTCAGGACGACGTCGAAAGGTGCTAAACAGTCAGGGTCATTAGTACCCGAGGTGTGGGTGGTTGGTATTAGGGAGACATAGAGGATGGGAGGGTGGCTGAAGGCACGTTTGAAGAGGAGGATCTTGAAGGAGGCAAGGGAGCGAGTGTGGCGAAGGGGATGTGGGATGCAGTTCCAAAGGGTGAGGGCAGAGAGGCCCGACGGTGGGGCAGGCCGGGCGGGGTACATGGAGCCGGGGATGGGGTTGAGGGAGCAGGTGGTGGGCTTCATGCGGGTTATGGTGGTGGTGAAAAAGGAGGGGGAGACCGGTTCGAAGGTGTAGAGGGAGGAATTGGTAGGGGCCGGAACGTGAGGGAGAGTGGGGAAGGAGTGGTGGTTGGGAGGGCGGAGACGGTTAACGGATCCCCTCGATTTTGGTCTTGAGGAAATCCAACACCTCCTTGCAGTTGGAGTTGGAGGAGAGGATGGGCGAGGCGTTAGAGGGTGGATGGAGGTAGTGGATATATAAGAAAGGAACTGAAATATTCCAAGCTAGGACTTCCCACTGATACCACTTTTAAGGTAAAGGGTAGAATTGCTTGTTGTTGGGCATCCCACATGTCGCACGACAAATTAAGTAACAAGCTTGTATCTATGATTATCTCTGCATGATGAATTTCCAATGTAGCAGGCACTAAGCTAAAGCCATAAGGCAGGGGAAAATCTGATGCTGGTCACTTTTGCACACTTCATATCAACTAGCTATACAGCACTATCGATGGAGGCTAAGGAGAGGCCTCCATCGATCGAGGAAGCTGTGCAAAAGATCAGTGACTTCAGAAGGTAAAAGAAACGATTGGTTGCTCAAGGGCTAGAATGCTTTGATTTCCATTAAGCTACTGGTATCTTTACTAACTTGGTGTGATGTGACCAAGAATTGAGCATGTTTTTCTCTCAACTCCATATCAAATGTGAAATACTTTCCTCTACATTGCTTAGCGATGTGTGTCATAGAAATGTTCTCTCAAGGTGACCTGTGCTTAAGTTGGTTTGTCCTTTTTGCTGCCATATAAATTGACATGAAAGTTGTCGATTTGAACAGACATCCTAACAATCTGAAAAGGTTGATCCATTTTACTGTTATACGGTTGAAATCCAAGTAAAAGGCATGATTTTGAACAGTAAATGTCTCCTTCATGAAATGACAGCATTGTAATAGATTCAGTGATGGCCAGATCTTTTATGTCTCGTTGCAGCAGCAGCAGACGGCGCCACGACAGTGAAGAGGTAGATGGCCACAAGCGACACAAACATAAGAAGTCCAAGCGAAGCAAAGAAGATAAAGAAGCCAGTGAGGAACGTTCCCAGGAACCAGAGCCCAGCGAAGCTGCTAGTAGTAACTAGAATCTAGGTTCTCCCCCACTACCTGCATTGCTACTGATTAGTTGGATGGCAAATATTGGAAATACTTGAAAATCTTTGTTCAGGTGATAATTAACCTGAATTTCTGCAGATGTCAGAATTTCAAAGACTGTTGAAGTTGTTGGTGCTTTTAAGTACTTACTGTGTTATTAAAAAAAAAAGTTTGTATTAGTTTGTTGAAAAAGAATAAAATTTCTGGACTTTTCGTTTTAAAAATGAAAGTTTTACTTTTTAAAAAAAAGTCAGTAGATGCAAACTACTTAAAAATTCTGATCAATACTTTCTCTTTTTCCTGTGCCACTGAAATAGCAAGCTGAGCACTCTTGTGTTTTGTTGCACTCCTATTCCTCAGTCACGCATGTCCCTGCATGTAAAAGAAAAATGTGGACACCTTTTGTTCTGTGGATTTTAGCGGCACACGTTCACAAATTATAATCTTCAACATTAGTGTATGCTCTTTATTTTATTAATGCATGCTGGCTTGACTGAGGGAATACTTAACTATCTCACGTGCTACCTAGACATTTTTCCTGAATACACATTTGAGAATAGAAAATTCCTGTTTAACTATATGACAGGTTGCAACTCTGCTGTAAAGTATTGATCATATGAAAATGAAGTAAGTACAAATAAATAACCAAGAATATTTGTGGGAACTACACAAAACCCGTAATGCCATGATTTTTCTGTGCCTTTTATTCTGATTAAAAAATTTAGGCGCAGAGTGATGCACTATTTCACGGATATTTGAGTCCTCTATTTATGTCATTTATTTTACATCAAAAGTGATTTACTGTAGTCACAAAAGTTGATGTTTAGCTCAACAGCAAGCTTAATCTTCAGATACCTGACCCTACTCAAAATGAATACTATTAAATTAACTTAACAATAGTTGCCGAATCCATTCAGCAGTTAAGTGCATAGAGATACTCTAGCTTGATTGTACTAGTGTACATTTGAATTCCATGCCAACAACTTGTATTCTGTACATCTTAAAACGCATGGTAACTATATTTGTGTTCCAAGCTGTTTTTATAACAATAAAACACCATTTTTCTTTTGTAGAAAATGCATAAAATTATACAATTCAGTAGATCACAGAAACTTAAAAGTTTAGCAAAGATTTAGAACTTTTTGTATAATCAGTAACCGTAACAATTTTAGCAATTTGATTTTGTAAATGTCTTCTGATGAAATTCTGCTTATGTTTAGGATTAAAAGATCGATTGGCCAAATGGCCAACTCCTGTTACCAAGTCATTCCAACTCATTTAATGTGGCTATAATGCAAGCTAGAGACGACTGCCAGGCCAGGACACCACAGTGAGAATGACTTTTCCCCTCACTTCCTTGAGCATTTTCACCAAACAGGGGTGACTTATTCCTGAGGTATTCCTCCTATTGACTGCCAGGATCATATCTCCACATCTGTAATAACAAGAGTTATATGGTTACAGAATAGTTCATGGATGTGCAGAAACATTGCTGAACTTCAGTTCAGTATACACCAATAATAACGTTGCTGCAGTACCCTTGTGCTCTCAGTTCTGTAACTAATGAGGAAGCATTAATGTTGAAATATATTAACCATTTTTTTTCTCTGCACACAGTTAAAAGCCAATGTGTAATGTTGAGATTCCTTCCATTGTCCTACATGCTGCTGCTACTGCGTATCCAGCTGCAGATCTCTTATTTTCTTTGACTTCCCAATTTAAAGAAATACATAAGAGTTTTGATCATCAATGAGCTGTTAGAGTTTACTTATGGTTTTTAACAACATTTTTAAAGTTGTGAAGCAACAGTCTTGTATAAGGAATGTTGCAAACTAGAGGGGTTGGGGAGATGATAAAATTTACAACTACCATCAATATCTCTCTAGCTGACTGACAGCACTGGTGAAACTCGTTCAATGAGGCCAATTAAACACAGCTGTTAGTTTAAGTTCATCTTTCATGTCGCCCATTATTTTTATTGTTTAAATTCAAATTTGACTTCTCTTAAGGTTTTTTTGGATGGTGGTCCCTTTAAGACGACATTAGACTCCTGTGTTATTGACAGTGCAGTTTATCATCAAGTGAAGTAAAATATCATTTTTTTGTAAAAATTTGTTCCAGACTTGGTTTCGGTTTTCTGGAATACATTTGTCTCATTGAAACGGGTATATTTCTGAGGTATAGAATGTCTGATTTAAGTAGTTAAAACTTTTAACTTGTTATGGAATTACCTTCCAAACTTTATTTCTCTAAAAGCTTAATTATATATTTTGCAAGTTTGTCTGTGTCTGGATCTCCTAGTTAACATTTATTTTAAATGCACATTTTCCATTTCTATTTTCTTCCCCAGCAAAGACAGGCAGGAAACAGTATGATAGGCTTTTGTCAATGGTACTATACAATCAGCGATTTTGTAGGGTCACTATATTCTGTGTTTTAGAACACTGTTTCTTCCGCCATCACCCATTCAAACCAGAATAGAAAATCACCAGAAAGTAAACTGGACTCTTAACTTTTTCCCCACTAATCTATAATAATATAGTGTAAAACAATAGTACTGTACTAACAGCAACAAATCTTAATTCCTTTAATGATGTGTAGTTTGTTCTCTAAAAACTGAGCAGTTTCATTTTAACAGATGAGATGCACTGAGACAAAGTGAGGGAAGAAGATGGGATTGCTGCTTTGTAATATGTCTGGTCGCTTTACAGAGCACTTCTATGCTTTGTGTATTTTGTTTCTTCAGCCCTAGTTGAGTTGCGAACTCACAGGAAATACTCACTGCAGCTGGGAAGAACTGTTAAACTTACTCAATGCATGAACTACTGTTCCTCTGCTGCTAGATGTCACTATTGTGCTTCATAACCAGTACAATGCAATGCAAAAAAAAATGGATAGCAAGAGACCAGGAAACAACGGTTCTTTTTTGAATTAGCTACAGGAAAGTGTTTTTTCTGAAAACGCTAAACGAAAATGCTGATTCACTGATGCCACAAGATTTTTAACTAAATTATAAATTAAAGCTAAACAGTGGCAACATGAGTAAATTTAGATATTTGTAGCCCCTAGCTCTGAGGGGAGGCACTTCAGTTCTCTGTTATGTATAATATTTTTCTGATCTAGATTGCTGCAAACTACATACTAAGTAAATTTATGGGAAATGTTAAGCTATCCCTTTCTAACATCCTGCTGTAGATACGCAGTACACTTACTTCAGAAGCTCTTACCAGTACTATACTGGATTCCCTCCCCCACTCTATTTTGACAATACTCCAATTCACTCTCTAACAAATAATTTATACAAAATTAAATTATGATATACTCAGACTTTTGTTTCAAGTTACTATAAAATGTCTGCCCCATTGCCAAGGGAGATTTTTATTTAACCAATATTTGCCAAACATTCAGCAGACAACAAACTCCTTTATGATAGATTATACTATTTCATGTGGGGAACCATGGTTGAGATTAGTATGGCTGTACCTGCAGTGAGGAAATTGCAAACAGCTGTTTGCTGGTGGAGCTGAAATCGGAGCTTTCATTTAAAAGCTAACCATTTGAATAAAGCTATATTAGTGTCAAAACTAAAAATTAACATATTCAACTGCCTGTGTTAACCAGATTTTGAAGTTTTCTACTTCTATCAGATGCTAATTAAACTAGTTCTAAATCTGAGATTTCCTCTGTTTGCCATATTCAAATGGATTAGGAAATGATTTGATTCTCTTTGCAAAATGTAAGAATGTTAACTTTGCCCTGTTCATTACATTTAGCAAATGTGATGTATGCTTATCAAAATTAATGTAATGCATTTTTAAGTTAACATTTATTCAAAAGAAAAAAAAGCTAAACTTAGCGAATAGAACATAGCAACTCAGCACACTTTAATGAATTTGCTACATTTAGTCAAGAGAACAGGTTAATCCCAATTATTTGTAATGTGCAATGTCTGCCTGTGGTTTCAAAATGCAAACAAGGCATTTGCCTCTGCCAGAGAAGCTCAGCCTAGTTGGAGGTTGCAGATTTTTGATAACAGTAGTAATTTTTTTAAAAGAGTAAACGTAATGTTAATGATCCACTGTTCTTGTGGTCCTCAGTACTAATTGACTTATTTTAACAAAAAATGGATTTTTGTAGTGCAGATCTGTATACAGAGAGGGTGAAGTGAGAATCTCCTATTTTTNCAATCAATTATAGCACTTTATGCAATCTACAGCCAAAGTAAGACAGCAAATGGCTGTTTCTGCTTTAGGTCAAAATATCAATAAAAATAATGAAATTAAAATGACAATGTTAAATGTAACTGATACAAATTTTACATTTGGAAAGGAACTCTTGTTTTAAACTATTGCAGTGCTAACCGCACCTCTACAGATACATGGGTACGACAGCTTCATCTATTTCAGTAAAGATTCTATAACTTACATTATTACGGATAAATTTTTGTGTGGGCTAATGGCAAATTAGTTTTCTGCAAAAAATCCATTTTGACTTCACGGATGTCTGCACCACCGAAAGTAACCGATTAACTCGACTATTGGAAACCTTGGCGTTAATACTTTATTTAATGGGGAGGGAAGAAATGTACTTGGTAATAGAATCCTGTGTGTGTATGCAGCATATGGGATGAGTTTAATGCCTCATTCACTTGGTGATTCCTGTGTTTTCAGCTTCATTGTATAGTACCTTATTAAACTGTCTGAATTTTATGTCTTAATGTACATTTTTAGTGAATTGTGTGATGATCAAGATGAGCGACGTCAGTCACTCGGAGCATGCAAGTCATGTGGTTTTAGCTGGTTAGACTCCAGTTATCCCAATGCATGTTCTGGGGGCTCCCCAAGCCTTGGCACTTGCCAACCTGTGCCTAATACTTTCCGGAATTAGGTAAGCAGGATGCATCCCTCCAGGGAGAGAGAGCACATTCCAACAATCTATCTCTGGGATTTCCATGTGTAGGTGGGATGCATGGAAATCTCAGTTGGATTTGGATACTCTGAAGCTTGGTGATGGGTTTCTGCATGCATCAGACATTTGCCTGACCAGAAAAACAGAAAAGGAATATTTACCTACTTTTTGTTGCCAATGCCACTCAGGTCAGATTTAGGTTACAGCCTTTTCTGTCTTCCATGAGCAATGTGATTCAATTCAATAGACAGCACCTCCCAATGTGACATTTTCATTTTACACATTGTGGCATTTTTGACCAAGTCTGAACATTGATAATAATCTTTGCATTTTATATAGCCCCTTATCCCATCTGTTGAGTCTCATTGAGTTTCATATAGACACTTGTGTCTAGATGTCTCAAAGTGCTTCACAGAATATACTGTAAAGTGAATAGACTATATATTTTGTGGGTAAAATCTGGCAGCCAATTGCGCACAGCAGTGTCCCACAAACAGTCATGGATTTTTTTTAAGGAATTATTACTCCCAGAAAAGTGATCCGCCAACCGACTAACAACCGGGTTCTACTTACTGTTAGGTAAACATGAATGTGGAGTAAGGAATCTTACCCAGTTAGCATTATATTAGGTGAAATGTTATTTCATATTTAATAGGAATTGGATGGAGATTATCCATTGAGATACTTGTTCCATCAATCAACGCTAGCATTCAGCCAAATCAAGTCTGGATTGAACCAGGACCCTGGAAGTGAAAGGAGACTATCCTGATCCACTGTGCCAACCAGTGCCCACTAGTGAAAGTGGATAACTATAAAATTTAGCAATCTAATTGAAAATATTGAAGTTAAAAGATATGAGATAGTAATATAGTATTTGAATAAGAATAATATAATATTTTTGTACGATCAGACACTACAGTATTTTCATTTTCATCAGATAGGTGTTGAGTCTCATTGAGTTTCATATAGACACTTGTGTCCGTAAACTTCACTCACATTAATCAAGCCTTGGCTCTCACCAACCTGCACCTAATGCTTTCCAGAATTAGGTAAGCAGGCTGTGTCTCCAGGGGAAGAGTGCATTTCTTTCCAGATGCAGAGAAATTTTCTCTGTGTAGATGGCTTGAATGTGGAACTTTCTGGTTTGGACAATTAACCATAGTGATGTGTTTTTGCATGAGACACACCCAGATGATGAAACAAAAATAATTTTATGCTGCCTTCAATCTAAATTGCGGACAACACTGGAAAAAAAGATTAAAATAGCTGTTGTTTTAAAAATGCCTAAATTTAACATTGTTAGTGTTGATGTGAAAATTTGCAATGTCAATATATGAAACTGTTTTTGTTCTAACCACATACAACATGTAACTATTTAGCGAATGAAAACACTGGTACCTTAATCTTCCATCATTATAAGCTGGAGTTCCATCAACAATGGATTTTATAAAAAATGGCTGGTTCCCATGGTTTTCTTCATATCCTCCAACAATGCTGAATCCCAGGCTACCAGACGTGTTTCTTCTCAGTACAATGTCTTTACACCAATACAGGTATCTAAGAAGGCACAAGATTAATCACATGTAGAATTCCACCCCTTAACAATACAAAGTTTCATACTATGTAGGCAGTAAAATCTCCAGTACAATTAATGAGTACATGAATGTCTAGAAGACGTGAAAAGCACTATATCAAATGCATGGATTATTATTATTAAACCACTTCAATCATGTGCATAGTAAACAGGGCAAGGATGTGTTGAATCCCATATAAACCGGAACGGCATTTTGAATAATTGTTTTTTGTTAAACTGTACAACTAAAAGGTTCTTAAATTTCAGTTGGCTGGTTCATTTATTTATTTATTTTTTGGTCAGCCTGATTGTATGCAGAAACTCATCACCATGCATCCCATCTATACATGGAAATTCCAGAGATGTTTATTAGAATGGAATTTGCACTCTCTCCCTGGAGGGATGCATCCTGGTTACCTAATTCCGGAAAGCATTAGGAGCAGGTTTGTAGTAGCCAAGGCTTGTGGACCCCAGAGTATATGTTGTGGTACTGCTAGAGTCTATCCAGCTAAAAATGTATAACTTGCTATTGATATCACTATCTGGCAAGCTTTTTTGTTGCTTGTCCAGCTGGGACCACCCTTACCATTAGAGCTTTGGCTTGCAGGGTTCATGGAAACTGAGTGGGATGAGTCCCTGCCCCCCAGTGACTGGTCTATACTTCCAAGTCCTATCAATAAGCCAGGGTGGCTGCTGTCATCAGCAGTGCCCTGGAACACTGGGACACATCTGGTCCAGGATGTGAGATACCAAGACCATCATAGAGGGTGGGCTTCATTCTGACAAACATGTCACCTTGGAGCAAGCTCCCTCCCCCCACACCCCCAAAGAGGATAGTCACTAATTGGTCATTTGAGCCCTCAATAGGTGGAAATCTGCTGGACCAGGACCAGGAACTCCCTGCAAGCTTCTTGGTGGGCAACACTGCTCAGCATGCAAGGAAAAAAAATCATGGTCATATGTCACTCTTTCTTGGAAAGGGATCCATTCAAACCAGTATTTCAATTGCAGTTAAAACCCTGTAAAATTATATCCATGAAATGGTCAAGTTACTTTGCTATTTGCTGCTGGAAACCTTAACTGCAAATGTAGTTTTAGGACTAGAGCCGTGCTATAAAATTACTTCAGCCACTAAAATGCTACTTACAGAACCTCAAAACTTGTTTTCAGTACCTCCTGTGAATGCTAGTCATACAATGATTCTATTGTATTGGCCAAAGTGTCAAATACATCAAGAAAATGAGCACTTATAGAATTAATGATAGAAAGTACACAATATATTTCAAATATTTCTCTTGCAAAGCACATGTCATCTTGGCGGTAGTAATTTTGTTGAGCTGTAAACTGAGTTAATCAAAGTGAAGTAGAATATATCAAGCAGAGGAATACGACTGGTTACTGCTGTATTTTCTATTGATAGCGCTAACTAACGAGAGTTTGGACATTTCTCAAAACTTGAAATGCAATGGAAGCAATACCATTAATGCTTTTCAGCAGTTTGAACAAATTTCTTTCTGCTGAATAGTGTTCTTCTAATTCTTTTTTTAAAAAGTGCCTAATTTCTGAAATGGCCGTAATTCAGACCCGTTTATTCACTGACAGCTGTCAGCAAGGTTTTTGCTGCAAACCACAGTGCTTACATTCCTACATCCTATGTGGTCAAGCCAAGAGAAAACCCCAACAGAGCTAATATTTAAATAGTAAATGTTAGACATGCTTTTTAAACATTCGTTACTACAGTTATAAAGCACCAAATAAACAGTGCTGATGTGGGTCTCCAAGACCTGCACCACTGAGGCTTAGACCTGTATGTGTGTGCTGAAATACGTCACCTTTTTAATTTACTGGATTGGAGGAAGAAAACACTGTGTGGTCTCCAGAGCCTGGAACTGCAGCTCATTACCTAACAGACTCCTGACTGTAGTTGTTACACCTCTTTTAGTCAGTTGTGCCTATGAGATATTGGAAAGAAATAACCTTTCCTTATTCCTGCTTTCTCCATTACAGCAAGATTAATGTATCAAATAATACTGTCCTATTTTGAAAGCCAAACATGACTAATATTGTGGTCATTTACACAAAATCATAATAACATTAACAAATTATAGTGCCTTTCACAGTGGGAGGACGTCCCAAGGCGCTGATAAATGGAAAAAAAATTGAGAAAACTTTGTACATCATTTCAGTTATCTCACGAGGGGTGGAGCTGAGAATCTGTCACACATCTTAACAGTCATAGAGGGAATGTGCTGAATATTGGAATTTATGGCAAAACGCTTCCATCTAATAGTGCACTATGCATTTGACAGAGTATTATGTGAACGTCACATAGAGTTGCTTTTAAAGAGAAGTGACTAATTTGTTGCCAATTTTGCCACGCACAGCAACGAGATGAATGACTAGTTGTTAACCTTTTATTGATGAATTTTGGATGAGAGAAAAATATTCTAATGGTAAGTGTGCAGCAGCTGCTTTTCCAATGCTAAACATGCACTAGATGCTATATAGTAGTCATTAAAAGTATTATTGAGACTTCCCTAGACATAATAGTGCAGACTTTGCCAAGAGACTAAATTAATACCACTGAAATTCTCAACAGCACTTCCTGTTAGCCAGTGTCAGCTTCTTTCAGTTGGTCACATTCTCACCTCTGGGGCAGAATAGATTGTGGGTTCAAAGCCAATATTACTCATGTGTCCAGGCTGAAACCAACTTCAATGCTGTATTAGGGGAACACTGCACTGTCAGAAATGCTGTCCTTTGGATAAAACAAAAATAATCCAGTCTGCCTGTTCACATAGATCAGAGATCTGCTAACATCCTTTGAAAATAATTCTATAGATAAAATCAATTGTTTATGGTGGTGGACTCTTGCTGTGTGCAAAATGGCTCACAAATACTCACTATACTTGATATCAAGCACTTTGTTGCATTATGATGCAAGGATTATACATGTACAGCTATTGGCAGCAATGGCTGAAGAGAGGAGGCTGAATGAGCAGAACAATAAATCTGACTGAAATTAGAAATTTTACTTCATTGGGAAAGGTGAACATAAGAACATAAGAATTAGGAGCAGGAGTAGGCCATTTGGCCCCTCGAGCCTGTCCCGCCATTCAATAAGATCATGGCTGATTTTCAGACCTAACTCTAATTACCTGCCCTATCCCCATATCCTCTAATCCCTCTATTTTTTAAAAATCTCTCAGTCTTAGCCTTGAAAATGTTCAAGGACTGAGCATCTACAGCCTTCTGGGGTAGTGAATTCCATCAATTCACTACCATCTGAGTGAAGAAATGTTTCCTCAACTCTGTTCTGAAAGGCTGACCCTTAATTTTAAGACTGCGACCCCTGGTTATAGATTCTCCTACCAGGGGAAACAGTCCCTCAGTGTCTACTTTATCCAGCCCTTTAAGAATCTTATATGTTTCAATAAGATCTCCCCTAATTCTTCTGTACTCTAGAGAATACAGTCCTAGTTTATTCAGCCTATCCTCATAGGTCAGTCCCCTCATCCCAGGAACTAACCGAGTGAATCTACGCTGCAACCCTTTAGGCAAATATGTTCTTTTTTAAATAAGGAGACCAAAACTGCACACAATACTCTAGATACGGTCTCACCAAAGCCCTATTGCAATGAACGTTTGCCTTCTTAGTTGCTGGCTGCACCTGCAAACTAACTTTTTGAGACTGGTGTACAAGGACACCCAAATCCCTTTGAACACCAACACTATCTAATCTTTCCCCCTCTAGAAAATAAACTGTTTTTCTATTTTTGCTACCTAGGTAAATAACTTCACACTTCCCCACATTAAATTCCATCTGCACATTGTGAAGCGCATTTACAGCATTTAAAGCTCAATGCAGTTTCCCCAAGTGATTTTATTTAAATCAGTGACATTATGTTCTGAGCTTGTTTACTATGTGATATTTCAGTTGATTATAATAATTATTGTATTATATCTGAAGCAGTACATCAATGGAATTCCCTATGGGAAAGTAGATAAAGGCACCACCCAAAGTAATACTAAGCTATACAAACTAGAAGGTCACAGGTTAGATTAATAGTCTGTGCTGAGTTAGCTGCTCTAATCTAGGATTGAATTCAGGCACCACAATTGACAGTGCCCTTTGGTTAATTAGATGTATAAACCACTATTTTGTGCAAAGTTTGGTGAGAACAGATCAGACTTAGCTACTAGCAGCAAGGAGGGGAGAAATTAACCTCTCAAAAAGTAAGGTGTTCTGTGACTACAGAAGAATAACCTAATAAATATTAATATCTAAACAATGGATCAACTATATATACCTGCTAATTTAAACACATACACTCATTTGTAATCATTTATTCTTCTCTTCACAGATTAGCTGTCACCATGTGTCACACGCAATAAATCTATTCTTAAATATTTCAGGCCCTACAAGTTTCTTGTAGAAAAGCTGGAACAAACTGACCTTTTGTAACATGGGTAAAAATGTAACTCTTCCTCAGAATGTAGTCCTCAAGAGGGAACATAGCAAAATATCTACTAGATGGTTTAGTTTCATTGAAAATATTGTAATCCATTGGCTGTTCTGGTTCTAGTTACTGGGCATACATTTTACTTGTAATAATTATAAAACTCCAAAGAGAGCTGAACAGAGTCCTTGTGTTCTGAGAGCAGTGCTGCCAGACACCTAGCAAAAGACTGGACTAGTTTGGTCTCATTTTATCATACAAAGAGTAGGCAGAATGCTCGACTGCAACCTGAATATGAAAATATAAGATAAGGACAATACTACTAAACTTCAAAAAATGGAACTATAAGGATCACGGGTGATAATAGTTTATTAAGTTTCTTAATAAAGGCCTTTGGCTTCAATTTTTTTTTACAAATTCCTGAGTTTAGTTTTTAAAAACAAATTTGGTGCTCCCAATGGCCTTGGGGTAAATCCCAGCACTAAGCAAGTTCATATGGTTGTAAATTCAATCTTGAGTCTAAG